TTCTAGAACCTGTGGTATGCAGTGGTTAACATACCAATCCGCGTTCACTGTACGACGGTCTTCAACTTGAATGGTTGCGACATGACCCGTCTTTGAGAAAAATGACGCAACCATCCTTTTGCCGACGCTTCTGGATCGCCGAAATTTTTTGCGGCGGGTTTTCACCTGGAAGGATCCAAATTGAGGATTGGCGCTTTGTCTCCGGGTCAAATTGGTAAACCCAACTTTTATCGCCTGTCACAATGTCATAAACCCGTTTCGACTTCCCTTCATTAAATTTTTGCAGCATAAACTGGCACCAATTGACGCGCTGCTCTTTTTGCTCATCTGACAAGCAATGTGGCACCCAGCGGGCAGCAACTTTCCGAACTTGCAGGTTTTCATGCAAAATTGTGTGCAATGCTGCTGATCCAATCTTTACGCTATCCTGCATCATAGAATAAGTCATCCGACCATCTTGCCTTAGCATCTTCTCCACAGCGGCAACTGATTCTGGCACAACAGCAGTTGGGGGCCTCCCTGGGTGGGTCTCATCTTTAAGGCTCTCCCTCCCTCTCTTAAATTCGCCAAACCATCGAAAAACTGTTGCCCTTGAAGGTGCATTATCTCCAAATGTCTGCAGAAGTTGAGCTAGGCACTCTTCTTGTTTCAATAAATCATTGCGCGAAAATCACGTCTTTCAAGCTCCATTTTTAACAAATAAGAACATCTAAGGTGCTGAAATTCAAAACCCTTTTTTATTTTTTTCCCGCGCTTGAAATTAACAAAAATTACAAAACATGGGTGAAATAGATGGTACAAGGCACCAAAAAAATTTCAAACTGATATCTCAAGCGGTTACTGAATATCTCAATAATTTTGGAGTGACCCTCGTAATGCCCCAATCACAACAGGGATGACTGTCACCTTCTTCATATTCCACAGATTTCCGATTTGCTCCTTTAATGGTTGATATTTCTCAATTTTTTCTTGTTCTTTACCTTTTACCCTATTATCACCAGGAATGGCAATATCGATTATCTTCACATCCTTTTTTTCCTTGTCAACGACAACAATGTCTGGCCTTCTAGCTTCAACAACCCTATCACATTGAATCATAAAATCCCACAGTAGCTTAAACTTGTGATTCTCTAAAACTCCTTCAGGTTTCTGTTCATACCATTTTGTGGCTCTTTCAATTTTGTGGTTTTATTATTATTATTATTATTATTATTATTATTATTATTATTATTATTATTATTATTATTATTATTATTATTATTATTATTATGCTATCTTACAAATGCTTTCAAACAGTTTGTTGATAATTTTACATTTTTTTAAAATCACCTGCCAGACTCAAACAAGGAGAAAAATGTACATCCAGCCTACCGTTATTCTTATTTCAAGGTCTGGGAGAAGCAATAAAGATCGTAAACAGATAGACACTTTGACTGCAAATGACAAGGAAGAATCTATTGCTATATATATGTATAGACAGTGGAATTCGTTGAAGACAAATGAAACATTTAAAATTGATTCAAGCAAGGCTGCTAGGAATAAAAGTTTCTATCAGTCGCAATTAAAGAAAAGACCTAGGCCTATGTGCTTTTAAGATGTGTACATAATTGCCAAGCTATAAATTATGCTGGTGTAATGTCATTTTGCTCTTGATTTTAGGAACTCTATGATAGCCGAGATGCAGAGGATGCTGTCTATAGTTTAAATGGCCAGTTGTTGAATGGAGAAAGGTGATCATTATTGTAATTCTGCTAAATTGTTTTGTATATATATTTAGAAATACTGATTACTACAATAAACTTTGCATTGTGACTAACAATTTTATAACAACAGGCTTGTTATCTGTTACCCTGGGTACCAGAAAATAAGAGAGTCTGGTTCAGTGCACCCTTCTCCTTATTCTGGTGTGCCGATATTAACCAATCAGGATCAAGTGTACATATTTCTGTACGTTCAAAGGCCACAGCAAAACAATAAACATAGCTCTGGTGTAAAACATTGAACAAAACAATAAACATGGCTCTGGTGTAGCGATTGAGTTTGAAGACAAAGTTAAACTGTACTCAGAAAATTTTCTGCATTTTATGGAACTTAACACAGGATAGGTAAAAGCATTGAAAGCATTGTTTGTAGAGAGAAGAGAAACTTTTGTCATATTGCTAACTGGCTTTGAAAAGTCTCTGATATTTCAGACAGTGCCTCTTGATGCTAACCCTCGAATCTTGAATCTTGAAGAAACTAAGCCTTTTAGTAAAATGTAGTAAATAAGGAACACCGCAAGGCGCCGAGAACAAACAACAACAAACACACATAAATCTGCTATGGCTCATATTTCACCCCGGCATATGAGGCTCCACTTGTCGTTTTGGCCATATTTGTTGTGATTATCTTCCAACATGCTGATGCTAACCGCTGCGGTGTCCAAGCGCGCTGCCTTCACAGTGAGGACGTAGACTTTTTAAAGTACACACAATTTTTGAGGAAAATTACAAAAAACTTATTTTAAGTTTTATATGAAATTTATAATGATTAACATTTTACAACTGCATTGTCCTACCTTTTATTTCATGCCTTGCACATGTTTTTGTTGTCAAATGGCTTTTTACACCTGATTTGATTGGAATCTTTAGGTAGAAAAGTCTGTCATTACTGTATTAATATTATCAACTATATAAAATACATTTGCTTTAAGATTTTCCAAAACTCCACTGACTACTGAGTATCTTTGTTATTCATCAGACAGTCTGGTTCCACAGGCCTAGTTTCTAGTTTATTGAATTGACTAAAGTTCTTTCAAATAAGTTCACCGGAACAAGGTCCGAGCGCACTGAACCAGACTCTCTTATTTCATATAAGTGAATCTGGTACCCAGGGTAGTCAGAAGGATTCTACTTCTGAGAGAGAGGTCCTTGAAGCTTTATTTCAAAGATTGATAAGAGGGCTGGGGTAATACTCTAATCTTGTGCCACACCTACCCCTCAAAGTTTGAAATATCTTACTGTACCAAGTTTTTTCTAAGCACAGTCCAGTTAAATGTGTTTAATTTTTCCATCAAACTTGAAACAATCAAACTTTCAAGGTTCTAAATAGTAACAAAATGACACATAAATATGAAAAATATACATATGTATATACCTTTTTTGTAGCTCTTTGTTACTTTCTTTTCCATGTATAAAAAATTATGCGGTTTCTTTGTTGAGAAGTTTTTGTACCTAAATTCTAGCTAGGTCAATGTTTTATTTTATACACTGAGAAGCAAAAGAAAAGCCTAGTATATTTTGATAACATATTTAATGAAAATGATAGAGTTTTCATTAAATGTTTATCCTGCTTTGTTATAACAGCAGGGCCCCTGCAGTATTTTGTGCTGATAACAGTACTTGCAGTCTTGGCAAGGTTCAATACGTACAATATTTCTCTTTTTATTATGTATAGTTGTAGGCATATAAAAAATATCAAAGTCACTTGTCTTTATGAGTTTATTTTGGTAAATGAAATTGAATACCTTGTCTCATTGAGAAAGAAACCTTGGTTTGGCATATTGTATAAATTCTGCTGAAAAGCATTTTATTGGTTGTCAATTTTCATTCCAGGGTAACAGTAGAAAATGCCAAAAAGAGGGATGGATTTGGAAGCTATGGACGATCATCTTTGTAAGTTTCAAAAAATCACATTTCTATTTGTGGCAATAGTCAGGCCTTGCCCAAAAGGCGCTCGAGCGCGCGTGCCCAGAGTGCACCCAAAAGAAGCCTTGGAGAGCAATTATAGAGTCCCTTAAAACCTAAAAACAATATTACCAGGGAACAAAATAATGTTTGGCCTTTGTTTAATAAACTTGATCAAGCATAAACAATCTTCACAACAGATAATTATTTGCGTAAGATTACCCCTTGAGAAAAAAATTCAACAAGTTCAACGCTGGGCTTTTGATACCATTTTTAATCTTTTAACCCTCTAGTAACCACAAAGGACACAGGCCATCAAGCGTATCCTCCGGCAGATTTATTTAATTTTCGAGCGAGCGTTAATATTCTGTTCAAGTATTATTTTATGTTTTTTCTAAATAATTTAAAATCACCTTTGCAAATCAGAGATCACATTTCTGTCCAAATTATCGCATTGCTTTTCAGTTTTCATTTGCTTTTGCGAGTAGTAGATGTTCGAGTGTGTCTTATAGAATGGATAGCATAGAAAGGGAAACACAGTTTAATGTTCGTCTTAAAGCCATGCGTTTTCCTATATTTCTATATCTGTATTAACATAGTGTTTGCTGCATGTTTTGTTATTTCAAATTATGGTGCTTTTGGTATCACCCTTGAATTTTCTATTTAACACTCTTCCGAAGCTTTCGATATGAAGCTCTCAATTTTCCAAAACTTTCAAAGGATGCTCTCAAGGATATTTTATTTAAAGGTGCGAAATAGAGCGCCTAGAGTTTCTAAGGGGCTCTTTTTATGGAGCACCTTCATTTTGCTTAGAGCAAGGCCTGCACTAATGCTTGTCGGACGATCTCAACATGCAATTAAACGTAAGCTTGGGATGAATATATAAGTATGAAATGTCAGAATGAATATTGAAAGATGATACCTGATTTGATACCTGAGCAATCACTTGTTTCATTATCATTTGAAATTATCATTAACTTTAGATATGATAATAGTATTCTCTGTATTCCGCATTAATTCTTCTGTCTTAACCACAAAGTATCTGTAGGCTGTTTGTTTCTCTACTTCATATTTATCAATTGAACAAATTTTCATTAATTAATGCATTGTTTTCCTTCCTAATTGCATGGAAAATTTGAGCTCCCTGGACGCATTTACTAAACCCATTCCCTGTAAGCTTCAAGCTTTGCTTATGTTTGTTTTTTTAGCAAAAGATCCTCTGCCCCAGCTCGCACCCAGTATCGTTTGAATGTCTACAACCTCTCCACTCGCTGCAATTGGTTTGTGAGTATGATTTTACTCCATATTTGTTTAACATTGATTTGCAGAATTCACTAGACAATTCGCAGAACTTTTCCCAGTCAGTGTTTTAATGGAATTCCTCGATCTTTTGGTTGAAGTAATATCAAAGGTTTATCTGACTAACATAATTATCTAATCTCTAAATTAATGATTTAAACTGATAAATTATGAATTGAAGTCTCAAAATAACATCCTTGTAGGCTTTGACTACCTGATTCTTCCCCACTGTTAAATTTACCTAAAGGTAGATGTATAAATTTTTTTCTGTGAAGATGTCTTTGAATCGTTCAGGTACTGTGTCTAGCATGGGTTCTAAGTTGACAATGGGTGTAAGTCAGCCCCATCGCTCTCAGTACAGCATCTGCTCAGTTTTTCACTTACTAGCCATTCCGGTCGTGGTCACATGTCACTCTGAGATACCAGTGCTCTTTCTTGGAAAACCCCAATATCTGTGCAACATCTGTCTGATCATTTACCAGTTCACCTATGCAGTCGTTGGATGATACTTTGCAGTTGTCACCAGAAAATATTGCCCGAGAAATGTGGCTGCCAGTTTAGCGTGCTGCTTGACGTTCATAGCATTACATGCCTGCAAAATCCATGTGAACAAGCATATTGTACATCGTTGCAACATCGCAAGGCAAGCATAATGATCATGCATCCAGCTGACGTCGTAACTGCAATATTGACATCCGTTGTGTGCAATGCCATACATAGTCCCTGTTCACACATGTTGCTAACAAGAATCATGGAAGATGCGTTCTAAGCAAATGATGTTACCAGACCGATTTGTTTATATGATTCTGTTTCAGGATAGTTTTCTAGATTAAGGACTCAACAAAGGTAAGCTATCTTAAGTATGTGCAATGTAATTAATCCTTATACATAGCCTTGACTGCTTGCTTGATGACCTTTAAAGCGATACATGATGCAGTGCCTGACACAATGGAGAGTAAATTACAAGCAAGGCCTTTGTCAGTTGAAATCATGCATAGAAGCTTCCCAGCACATGGTGGTTCTTGCTTTCAATGCTGTCAATCCTTTACTGAATGAAGATTAAATGCCCTGAGTGCTGTTGCTGCAAATGTCCTCTGGTGCAAAATCTTTAAAAACCGTGTACCGGATCATTCCAAATGACATGCATACTGTGGTGAATCACTGCATTCTAGTTACAGTGACCGGAAGTCCCTTTTGGATGCAATACTTTGGACGTTGGAGTGACTGTGTTGCTTTCAGATGCTTTTAAATGTCATGTTCTGCCAAATAGACTGGTGCTGCGTTAAGATGCAAAACTCAGAATGGTGGAACATCCAGTTTCTTTTTGGATGCAGAGTCCTTCAAGATTTGTGAAGAGTCGTGAAGATAGTCATAAGCAGGCAGTTAAGGCTTTGTATATGCCGGATATATGTGTGCACTTAAAACCAGCTTTGGTTTTGTAAGCCTTGTTGTATTGATAAGTTTTGCATAGCCCACTAGACAGTAGATGCTTGGTGCTGTTTCCACGGAAGTCAGGTTATCTCAGCCAGTGCATTCGCAGGTTACTATTGCAGCCGGTGAACGTTGCATAGCCGGAAAAGTTTTGCGATGTCATTCCCAAGTTACTGTCAAACAGCCATTGAACCGATGGCTTCATCTCATGTTGATTGATGCGACACTGTCCTTCATTTCATTACTGTGGACATGAAGCCAAATGCGATGTGAAAATGCAGGAACAACGGTTTCAGTCCGCGAAGACCAGCTGTGACTTGTCGTTGGTACCATCTGATGCATTGCTTTTCTCTTGCTGACAGGACATTGCAGTGGATGACATCGCTTTTGCTGCAAAGCCTCGTTTTGCAAGCCCACCTGGTGTTTGTTGCAAGAAGATATAATGAAGTATCATATCCTGTCCGTCCTTCCAGAGTGGTTGTCAACAACCAGACAACAATACTGTCTAGTGGGCTCTGTTTCAAGTGTTTCGATCGTTATCATTTGCTTGCTTCTCTCTGCCCTATGCTTGTTTATCTTAATTTTTCATTTCTACTAATTTTGGCTTGTAAGGTATTCAAAAGGAACTATCGCACCGGTCTTTGAGGCAGTGGGAAGCCATATGGGGATTCTTGGAAAGCCAGTAAATTATATAGAGAATTGAAAACTTGTGTCCTACGTCTGTGTTCTATTTCGTCTTCGTGTTCTGCCTTGATGCTAATATATGGCAATCAAGATGGAACTGTGTGAAAGAGGTTCTGCTCACTTTCTAGCAGACAGTTTAAAGAGATTCTTTGTATTTCTCTTTTTGCCGATGTTTCCCCGCCTAAACGTTTCCACTGCCAAGATTTGTGCGATTAGACTTAGATAATGTTATATTAGACTGCATTGTCAGTTTTGCAGAACTGTAAAAAATTATTAATCAAATTTCAGGAGCTAAAACAGATGTTTAACAAAACTTCAGATATCGTTTTTGCTGATGCACACAAAAAGCGTACAGGAGAAGGGTCAGTATTGTCTTTTGGACATTTTCAATAGTACTTTTTACACACGTTGGTAAAGAGCAAAGCATTATACTTTCGATGTGACATTTCGTCATCTGACGTTTTGTAATCTGACGGTTGTCCAGCGAAATAGATTTTTGAAAGTAATAGCACTGTTCGTGCAAAGCTGGAAAACAGTCAAGTATTAATAAAATTCATACTTAAGGTTGTATTTATTTGAGCGATTGAATGAATACGAATGCAAACATGGAGGCCATCTTGTCTTGGCAGGGTTGCCAAAAATACTTAATTGAATTAACGTAGAGAAATTGCAAAAACCGCTAAATTTGAGATTTTCTGTTATCTCACTGAAACAAAATCGAGTTTCTCCAAAAATCCAATTAGCTTCTGTTGAAAAAAGCTGTACTTAATCTCAAGTTATCGAGAGAGTGAACCAAAAATGTTCTTGTTACCAGGGGAGGGATGCAATTTTGCACATACATAGCAAATTGTATTAATCATCGGCAGATATAAACCAAAAAGGCATCCATGCTTTGACTTTGTTACTTTTGCAGTGTCGTTGAGTTCAGAACTCATAAAGACATGATGAAAGCCTGCAAAACTCATAATGGAATGGAAATCAATGGCAAGGCTATCAAGCTAGAAATTGTAAGTCGTAGACCTATTCTTGTAATTCTGATTTCAATTCTGTGTTATTTTTCATAAATGCGAGATATATAGTGAACTGTGTAAAAGGTTTACTCTAAACTTGTAAAGATAAGCTCGATTTCATGTTTCCTGCACATGCTCTTGTTTATGACACATCATTCACCTCCATTTTGTACAACACGACCTGTATTAAAGACAATCGACAGATACTAAACTAGTTTAAGTCATCTGTCAATCAAATTGGCCAACCAATAAGCGTGATGCCACACAAAAACCTATTGATTGGCCAATAGTTGATGGACAGATAGCTTAAGACACTGAAGTATCTGTTGATTGCCTTTAAAATCTTTGTAATAGTAAGAATAAATAAGTCATGTATTCATTTAGTGATGTTTTGATGTTAAAACTTTGACTTTGTTTTAGGAGGAACATAGAAGACGCGGTTCCCGCTCACGTTCGCGCTCAAATTCAAAAGACAGATCTCGGGGAAGAAAAAGGTCGAGATCAAGCGAGGGGAAAGCAACAAAGTAAATCTTGTGTTTTCTGTTTAACGGTTTTCTTGGGTAATATTTATTGTATATAGTGTTGATAATTATGATGGGAAACATTAATAATGCTTCCACTGAGAAGACTAGCGGCCTGGGAATGTGAAGACCGAGAATTGTATTGGGCAGTCTCGATTACAAAAAGAGAAACCCTACATTTGTATAAGAGACTGACATTGTTTTAAACAGGATTAGTTCTTTGGTAACCAATTTCCTAGCAAATATGCTTTCTTATTTGGAAAGTTTTAAAACTGTGTGACTTGAAACTGCTAGGTAGATTCCATTCAATCTGCATCAGTGCAAGTCCTGTAAACATTGCTTACATTAGAAGGCGGCAACTAAGGAATGTCCGCAGGTTCCGCTTATTCACCAAACTTTTTTAATGTTAATATTGATAATGTTAATTTGAAACCATTATCAGTTTTTGTATCATTGCTATGATTTTTGGTCTCTTTTCCTTTAAAATAGTTTTTGCTTTATCTTTTTTTACAGAAAAAGGCGAACGAAAAAGAAGCAAGAAGCCTCTGAAGAATCCAGTTCTTATTCTTCCTCATCCGAGAGTGATTCAGATTCAGAATCAAGATCGCCGTCTCCAAAGAAGAAGTCAAAGAAAAAGAAGAAGAAGAAGGAGACAAAAAAAACCAAAAAGCGCACGAAGAAGAAGGATTCAGATTCGAGTTACTCCAGCTCTTCTTCTGCTTCAGAGTCGGATTCTGATTCACCAGCTAGGAAGAAATCAACTAAGAAAACAAAGAGCAAGAAAAAGAATAGATCTCAAAAGTCTAGGTCAAGCTCAGATTCAGATAATGAAGGCATGCTTTTTTTAGTTTCCATTTAGTTTTCAATTTTTTTATATCTGCCATCCCTTTGTTATGATGCTTGTGATCATTTCTTGAAAGTAGCTGTCTCAGGTATAATATTTACTTACATATATACCCTTCTACCGTAATGCTGCTTTTAGTCCTCTATGACAATGAAATGTTGCTTCAGTCATTTGAGCTTTTATAAGCAATAAGTCGTGTCAATTTTCCATGCCGAATTGATTTCCCAGTTTGAAAGGTTGCAAAGAGAATTTGAATGAGAAAAATTTGCTTTGCATTTGAATTTTGCACTAAATTGCGTTTTTGATGCATTTTTGTTGAATGCTTATTTGTACGTTCTTTGCTGTTAATAGTCATAGGTGGTATCTTGTAAAATCTCTTAAATGTTGTAATCTCATGGTCTGGTTGTCTTAATATTTTTTGTTCGTTTTAGGTTCAGTCCAAAGAGATAAGTCAGCCTCGTCTGGACGGGAGGCATCAGCCTCTCCTGTCAGAGAAGGATCACAGTCTCCTTCCAAAGAGCGTGCTCCATCATCTGAACGAGAGGGTTCTGCGTCACCGGATCGCATATCTAAAGGATCAGACCGTGAAGCAACACCAGTCTCTGGGAAGGAGCAGTCTCCCGACAGAGACGGATCCCCTTCACCTCAAGCGTCTCCACAAAATAATGAAAAGATAGAGAATGAAGGTATCATTGCGAGTCATTTTGATGTTTGTGAGCAAAAAGGTAGAAAGGGCTCGCCATTTCTCTGACCAACAAATAAAAGTTGATAACAAGGCATGGTAAAGCAATATTCTCAAATTTATATTGTTTTCAATAAGGTTTTGCAACACAATGTGTCGCGAGGTAACTCACTTGCGAATCTTCTCACCTCTGCCTAAATGCCACGTTTTTGCAATGTAACGGTTACATTTTTTTGTACTTCACAACCCAGTGTTTACCAGCTCGCCTTACTGCCAATGAGTAAGATTAAATTTTTACTTTCTATGTTTACCTGTTCGGCATTCGCAGCTGTTAATCTCTGTTTATTTCATTAAAAGTTCATGTTCCGTAAAAACTTGACCATCAAGGTTGCTCAAACTATACAGATAACAAGCAGGTTTATTTCCTAACTTCGTTTGCTTTTGTCGTAGCTTTTTTTAATTTTCTTGAAAAACTGGTTGCTCATTTGATTTTTTGTTCTGTTTCCTTGCTGTACAGATAAATCACCTTCAGATGAAGCCATGGAAGAGAACGAGGAAAAGGAAGGTTCAGGAGAAGAAAACACAGCAAACGTTGAGGAAGAAGAAGATCTTCCCAAAGGCCGCAAAAGCAGGCGCACAGAGTCAAAGTCACCTGAAAGGGATGCAAGAAAGAAGTCAAAAGATAGAAAGGGAGAATCAAGGGAGAGTGGGAGTTCAAGAAAGACAAGAGGAAAGAATATAGATGGAGACGACTCGAGAAGTAAAGAAAAAGCTGAAAGCAAGCGTGAAAATAAAGAAAGAAAAGGCGAAGATGTAGTAAAGACTGAAGATAGAAGTAAAGAAGAGAAAAAGAAGGATAAAGACCACAGGAGAAGTGGAGGGCCTGTGAAGCTTAAAAGAGCAAAGGATAGTCATCGTAAGTCACCAGAGAGGAAGGAAGAAACTTCAAATCAGGAAGAAAGTAAAGATGAGGTGAAAATTCCGGATGAAGAAGTAGATGAGAAAGTTGAAACAGAGAAAGGTGGCAAGGCAACGCATAAGGAAAAGAAAAGTGCAGAAAAATCAAAGGGAAAAGGGAAAGATTCAGATAGGTCAAGGAGAAGCAGTGATAAGAGAAAGAAAACAGAAGAAGATGCCGAGGAAAGTAAAGAAGATGATTCAAGAAAAGAAGATGGACAGGTTGAGCAACAGGAAAAAGAAGAATTGAACAAGGAAGAAGTTGATAGGGGCGAGAAAAGTAGAAAGTCAAGGCATGATAGGCATCATCGAAGGAAGAGCTCAGAGCCAAGTGAAAAATCTTCAGAGACGAAGCAGAAGCACCACAAGCATGGTGAAAGGGGCGGGAAAAGTAAACGAAAGGCAGACAAGGAGCCATCCATGGAGAGAGAAGAAGAGGTTGCTCAAGAGGAACAACAAGAAAAATTAGAGGAATTAAAGCAAAGTGAAGATATATTCGAAGAGTCGCCAGCAAAACCAGCTTCTCCTCAGCGCTCTGTTAAGTCTTCATCTGCCTCTCCACACCACGATTCTGAAGATAATTTTGATCTTAGCAAATCGCCGATGGCATCCTTCCAGTCAGATCAGTCTCCTGTTAAAGAAGACGAAAACGAAGAAGGTGACACGAGGAATGATCTAAAGCTCAAAGGCCAAGGCAGACGGTATCGCTCTAAAGATGCTTCTGCAGAGTCACCAAGAAACCGCGCTGATTCGCAGTCACCTGATCGAGCAATCGATGCTGATCAAGATAGGGAGGAGCAACGACGATCCAGGTCTGCATCGCAGGACCAGCAGAGGAAGCATTCGCTGTCGGAAGGAAGAGACAGATCTCGATCAAGGTCACAGGAAAAGGGGCGAAAGCATTCAGCAGACGATAGAGAGAAGGAAAGAGACAGAAGGAGGTCGGACAGGTCAAGAGACGAAAGGAGGAGATCACGATCTAGAGACAGAGCACCAGGTACTACCGCTTTCACCCAGCTTTGATCTGCAATACTAAGAATTGAAAATGTTTCATCCTATTTCATTCATATCTTGAAGTATGGTTTCCTGTTAGCGGGATATGTTTTTCACGGGACCCTTCAAACTCCTACATGGAATGGCGTAACAAGCAACCCAATGGCCAAGAAGAAAACAAGGATGGAGTCCCCTTAAATTAACCACATAGTTGTAGCTTCGGGGGCCGCCTTTAAAAGTTCAGAGTCCTTTCATACTTAGATTTATATATACACATATATAGATGCATTTCTTTTCAATATATTCCACAATGATAAGTTAACTTTGTTGTTTTAACCTCCTGTCAAAAGAAAGAATACCCTAATTGAGAGTTACCTTATTAACCGATAATAACGCGGTACACCAAAAATTAAATGCGATCACAAATGAAAGCGAATAACGATATTGGATTTTAAAACGTCTGGTAATTAAGGCAAATTAACGAAATTCAAATATCAAATTAATTAACGCGAATTTAAAATGTCAGAAGAAATTTTTACCGAAATATATCCAAATTCAGTACAGGAAAAAAACTTTAAATTCACTTGGATTGGAGATTCCAATAAGGTTATCAGTCACGTCGGGTGAGCCCGAAAAATTGTCAATTTTAATAGCTAAAGTGAAAGAGATTGAGTATCCCCTGACCAGAGAGTATATTGATGATTTGAAAAGTACAAGAGATTGAGCAAGATGAAGATTGTGACGAAAATGTAGAATTTCAAGGAGAAGCAGTTGATAATGAAGTCATTCAAATATTATAAAAAGTATTCTGAGTTTTCGTTTGCACCTTACTCAAAACTGGAAAGGATGTTTTACTTTTAATAGGACTTTTTAAAAGAGCACTTTCCGGTCCTTCCCTATTGGACGCTTTCTATTATCTTCATTTTTCTGATATAACAATATATTGCAGATATAATTAGATAATCTGGCTATTTTCAATAGTTTTGAAAAGTTGCATAATAATTAAAGTGGGATGAAATAAACGCATGTTTATTTAACGCTGGACATTTAATAACGGACGAAAAATTTACGCAGACATGAAATTAACGGGTTTTAATTAACGCGGAATTTTTCAATCTGTGTTAATCAATGCACCATGTTATTTTCGTGTAAAAAGGTACTTAAGATTTAAGACTTATTTTTAATTTAGTGTCTTTAGTGTTTGTCATATTGCTTTATGCACTTGGTAAACAATGTTTGGTTGTTACAGACGCTTTGCCATTAGTCTTGTTTTTTTCTTTCATTTGTTTCTTGCTTTCGAATATGTTTTCAGCAAGATATGTCTTGTTTTAGCGAGAGGATTCAGAGACGGCAGGCGTCGCTCTGTCTCGCCAAGAGGAGGGCGTGGACCGTGGGGTGGCAACAGGTACCGCGGATCCGGACGTAGGGACGAGCGGAGGGATGCATACGAAGGAAGAAGACGCAGTCCAGCGCGTAGACGGGAAGAAAGACCGAGGTCCAGGGAGAGAAGAGAGAAGGAAGACCGCAAACGGGACCCTAAGACTCGAGATAGACATCGGTCACGATCAAGATCTCCAAGAAAAGGCGATAAAAGAGACAGAAGATCCAAGTCAAGATCACACTCTCCTCATCGTGATGGGGGATCGAGTGCAAAGACTGCCAAGAAGTACAGTCAGAAACCAGAAACAAAAGTTAACGGGGGCACTAAAGGTGGTCATGAGTCAGATTAAAAAAGCAATCCTACACGCGGAAATTTTACTTTGCAGTGATAGGGACTGTTTGGGATAGTATGAAGGGTATTGTTGCCCTTATATTCCCTCCTTAAACACTCTGCCTCTACCGTCTCCACTGCATAAACTCGACAAGTGATGAGCTCCTCCACAAAGCCGTACCTCTTTGTCTGCTTGTGCATTAACTGTGCATAGATCTACTCGTCCCTCAGCATTATGTCTGCTTTCAAATTTTATTGTCGCCTTCAATGTTTTTGTGCTCTGTATTAAGTAAATGCTGAATCGAGGTTTTTAGAATTTATTCAAGAAATATTGTTGGTTTGATCATTTCAGGGTGAAGTCTTAACAGTACTTCAACCTCTGTAGAAACTGCTAATTTTCAATATCTGTTCGGGTAATTTGCTTTGAAACTTATTTTTTAAAACTACTCATCTTTTGTTTATAACGTATTTATAACTTTGAAATTATTATATGTTTGTCATTTTTGTTTCATATTCTGTTCCCAAATGAAGTGCAACTTTCTTTCAAGCCTCTGTTTTGAACAATATCTTGCAAGGATTGCAATTCTGTGGATGACAGTCTTTAACGAGGAGACTTTGGCTATGAGATTTTCTGTCAACCCGACAATTTGTAATGAATTTAACACAATTCGAATATATTTACTAATGCTAAATACTGCTTATATACTAAATCTTTTCGTCTGACACTCTTCAGATTATAAAACGTCTGTACATAGATCGAAAACTCTACGCTAGGAAATATATATACCCAGTTGTGGATCGAAATGGCCAATCAGAAACGCGAGCACGTGACTGTTGTGGTTGCTAAGTCTGTGCCGCGTGCCTGTTGAAAATGGTACCAATGGAGACCACACACATTGATTCTGAAAGTGATCTACCGTAAATTCTCTTTTTAGCCCCCCTCTCTTATTAGCCCCCATTTTCAGAAGGAAAAATTTAATTAGCCGCCCTCTCAATTTAGCCCCTCCCCCAGTTTTCACTAATGCTGAAATAAGTAAACTTGACAAAAAGCAGAGATTTTCATTGTGTACGAAGAATGAGTACGCTATGTGGTGGATCGAGGGGAACGCATACATGTATGTATGTATACAAATATATATAGACGCTTTTCCGTAACTTCTTTGCTATGCAAGGCATGCTCGTTTCACTTTGATGTGAGTGCCGATTTCTATTGCTTGCGGCCACGAAAAGATGACGACTCAACCTCATCAGCAAGCCAACAATCCAGAAAACTATTGTCTCATTGCCAGAAGGGAAGTTGGGACAGCTTTTAGCAGATACAATCGACCCTTTGTGGCATCGTGTAATTTAAGATACGGAAATAGCGGCAATTAAGTTTTGATTGGTAAAAATGTATTGCTATTGACAATGTTGTCATTGTTTTTCTTCGCATATAAGGATTCTGTGCTCCTACCTTGAAGGTACCTCAAAACGCACTAAAGTTACTGAAAATCCAAACTGAATCCTAAATGCGTCCAGGCAATACTGGAAATATCACTAAATTACAGGCACACTGCGCACCTTTTATGGTTTGACTTCAAAAAGCAAAAGCTCTGTCGAGGACTTTAACAGACAAGCTATCTAATAGTTTAATAGCCCGAGCCTTACTTACTACCGATACTTATAGTCAGGGGTCTGGAACTCAGGCTAATAGCCTAACAAACTGAAAAATAACCAGCAGAAAAGAAATTATTCAAAAGAACGTCGACTGTAGCACATGAAACATAGGGGTTAGCGAACCGGACTCAATGAAGGTATGTCCTCTTTTTAGTAAAGCGCTCATTGTTTTACTGGTTCCCTCTTAAGAACTTGTAGAGGGGACCCCATTTTTCTAGGAACCAGTTTCGCTCTCTAGCTCTCCCCTACCTGACTTTGCAAACTTCAACTTCCCGAGCTGGGGGTTTTGCCCGAGTCTATGCTTGAGAAAAATACAAAGCAGGCAGATAAATTTCGTCATTGACTCTAGACGGACCTGTCGATGAAGAAATTCACCGCATCTCTTTTAGTTTTTCAATAAATGAATGAATTTTTGTGTACGAAAGAAATTTACTTATTTCGACGTATTCATAACTGTCTTCAGCAGCATCTTAAGAGTACCAGTCTTTTTTGTACACAGCGACAGGATACCTACCTTTTTACTCATTGGTCGTTCAATTCATCGCATCAAATCAAAATTCACACCATGTCTCTAGAACCAATTATTGTTGACGATGACGATGACAATATTGTTGATATAGAAGGCTGATTTGATGTTTTTTATTGCGCAAAAAATAAATTTTTTTACCACTATAAGTGGTTTTTTATTTCAAAATATTTATTAAGATCCTCTCTTAATTTAGCCCCCTCTCTTATAAGCCCCTACCTTGGGTACCAGACTCATTAAATATAAAATAAAATAGAGATTTTATTTTATATATAGTCTGGTACCCAGGGTAATTAGCCCCCCCCCTCTAAAGTGCTGAAAACCAATAAGGCCCCGGGAGGGCTAAAAAGAGTATATTGATTTACGGTATATCGGTTCTGCTGAAAAAACGACGAGAACTTAAATTTTGTCCGGGAAGTGGTAACGAAGAGGTAGGGTCTTTTTCTTATATAAAAGCTCGCGTTGTAGACGTATTCTAAAAGTGTTATATTCAATTCTGATTTTAGATTTTACACCTGATTTATTCCAACTAATCCCCCTCCCCCATTGACCACATGCTTCCTATGCAGTACTTGTGTAAGGCACTGAAAGGAAAGTGTGTTATGTAAAATACCTAGCTTTTAATTTACTTGGGGATTGTAACAAATTTCTTGCTCTCGACAAAGTAATGAAATAATAGTGGCTTATAAGAATAAAATTAATCGTTTGTGCAGTTTTTCGATCACGATTGGGATCGCTACCGCTAAACTAATGGATGTTTTCAAGCTCATTTCGTTCTAACTTTGATAGTTCTTTCCAAGATATCAAACCAAAGTAAAAATATGAAACACAAAAATATGCTCCATTCTAAAAATTTTGGTACGTTCATCATTATTGGCAATCTCTTCGTTGATGCTAATTTTTTTTCTCATTCTCCGTTGAATTCATTCCCTGTTGTATTCAAATTTGTTAAGGTGGGGGTTGTATGTTAGGGTAAGGGCTTGTTCGAGGTTGAGACCTAGCGGAGGAAAAAGTCACGCTGCTTTCGGTCAATGAGGACGAGCATGCATTGTCGTCAGAAAATTGTGTCAAAGGAATCGCAAAAATTATCCTTGGAACACTTATTCTTAAAGAAAAGCTCTTTTTCATCAAAATATTGTATGCAATCAAAGAAAAAAAAATCAGTTTAATATGTTTTATGATTAACATGTCAAATGTGTACATTACTTCCCATTTACATATTTAAGGGCTTCCGACGAAGGGGGCCGAGGGGGGCAATTGAAATTTTTTTACGACTTCCTCTTTCAAAACCGCGGGATGATTCGCGTTTTCAAATTGGTGGACAACAGTCTTGCTATTTGAAATGACCTTGGTCCCAACATTTTGTCAGGACTGTTGCACTTGGAAAGAATCTAACCGGGTTTCTTTCATTTCCTTTCTTTCAAACATCCAGCAATCGGATTAGTTATGGTGTTTAGAACAATAATAATTAATTAATGGAGTTTGCAAATATGGCAACTTTGAAGGAGCTGGCTGCCTCGCAAGGAGCAGAAACAGGCCTAAATATAGGCGGGGAAGTTAATGCCACTGTTCAAGCCATTTCTGATTCAAAACAAAGCGAGGAAGGTAAGAATGACTTTTTTTATCAATTACGAGCAGTTACCTGAGAGTTAATGTGGAATTCCTTTGTAATAGTCTGAATTTCATTGCATGATACCGTTTTTGTACTAGACCGCTCCGCCACTGGTTACTCATGCATAGAGGTAGTAAACATAAGTAAGGAACACGAATCCTCTCTTAGATATATTTGTAATTTTACCCACTCCTATGCTAAGTTTAGTCATCTTTTTCGAAGTGTGTTTTATTTTAATTGCGATTTAAGTGCTTTATAACCCAATAGTTTCATAGGCTCCAACCTCTTCATTGGACAATGATTGAAAACTGTCACGAACACCGTATACCAGATGGTTCAACTTTGTTAGTACCGTCAGTTGCAATATAGACAATTGCAATAGCAAGGCTGCATTGAAATTCCATGAATATTTTAATAACCAGTAAAGATGCTACAAAGTATGTAAACCCAAACTGAAAATTGAAAATCATGGAAAACTACCTAGTGTTCTCTTGATATATCCAAATACTGGGTTGAAGACTAGTTGGTAGATCCAAAAGGCCGTGAAAAGAAGCATTTTGTTATGATTGTGCTGAAAATCATCTCAGACAAGACCAAGAGATTGGTGGATGAAGGTTTATCAAGTATCTGACATTAGAGATGGGCTAAGAATGATTTTTATTGCATATGTTGTTTATGGCTATCATTTCACTGGTAGCCTTTGAAAGAAGCAAAAGTTGTATCTTAACTTTTAGGAAAACTTTTCCAGTATTTTAAATGTATCACTCCCTTCACCAGAGATGTTATGACCCACCAATCAATAGCACATCTGGAATGATTAAAAAACAATTGACATGCAAACTTTGGTATGTAAATCTGGATATGGCAAAATATCATCCTGCTAACCAGATTGATAAATTTGAATGTGAGCTCAAGTATACTGTTTTTTGCCTGATTTGGGGAAATTATAATTTGTACAGAAGCTATTTTTTGACAATGCCTTTATCCAGATGCTCACATTATTGTATCGATTCAGGCAAAAAGATCCTGCCTTGAAAGCATTGACAGATCGTGAAATGTTGTTTTATCTTCAACACTCTTGTTTGTTAGACACAAGTTTTCCCATTGAAACCAAGGGTTAAGATCATCATCAGATTAGAACTTTCCTCTCCTTGTTTGTCTAATGGTGTTGCTTTTACAAAATGAACATAAAGAAAATCCAAAAGGTGGAATTGGGTCACTTGTTTAGTCAGGAATTAATTTCTAATTGATTTATAATTCCAGAGATAAAGGCATCTACTCTACCCTTAAAGGTTGAGAGATTCTCATCATGCTTCTGTGTACAATTTTACTCACTTAGACTTTTTGTTTTATGAAAATCATTTCTACCAATTGCTTTGAGGGGGTCAAGATTAAATTTTATTCTGCATTCAATGTCTAATCATTGTTAATTGGTCCATACATATTGACAACTGCTTTTATGTCTAACCACAATAAAAATTAAGCATAGTCAGTCAAAAGTTTAACATTGCACATCAGGTTACTAAGATAGGGAGTAGCTCTCAGTATAGAGGGTACGTCTGCAGCCAGAAGATTGCCTATTAGAAAAAGTACCATTTTGTTCCAGCCAGAAGATTGTCCATTTGAAACAGTTCATTGCTTTAAGTCCTTGAAACTCATACAATATTCCTGGAGATGTCAGATTGTTTTAGCTGAAAGATTTTGCCTCTTTGCTGATTCCGTCAACTGTTTAAAGATGCTCAAGTATACAGAACAAATATCAACCAGAGGATTTGAGTCAAAGACTTTCAATATTTGGTTAAAAGAGTTTTTCAGAAATTTCCCTAAAGTTTGGAGAAAGAGAATTGTGCAATTTAGTTCTTCTCTAAAGCCCAATCTCCAGTGAGAAAAGAATCAGCGAAATGCGAAAAAGTTCGCGCGAAATACGTCATGGGCATGCGCAGTGAACTTTTGATGGGATTTCTCGCGAAGAATTTCTCTGCGAAAAAAAGTTAAAATGAGTTTAACTTTTTTCGCTTTTCGCTTGCGAAATCTTTCAGCAGCCAATCATAATCCGTATTGATTTGTCATGCTTCCTCATTCCAATGTCTGGAGATCAACAAAAATACAGGCCCAAATCGACATGGCATCGCGATATCCTTCGGTCTTTGAGATGGGAACGACAATAAATGAGGAAGATATTTGCCTTCAACAATTTGTTGATAGTGAAGCAAGTGTTCACGAATCAAGGGAAGACAAAACCGAGATTCTTATAGGGGAAATCCAAGCATACCCCATTCTATGGAACAAGCAATCCCCCGAGTACAAGGAATCCCATAAGAAACGACTGGTTTGGGCAGAGATTTCTTTAAGACTTGGACTCAACGGTAAGCACATTGGTTACATCATTTTTGTTATACTCACGAAACTAAACTAATACTCTTGGATGCTTAATACAAGGGGGGGGGGAAAGCTTATTATTTTTCGAAATTTTTTCCCGCCCTTAGGCCTTAGACCCCCTCGTTTTATCAATTTTTGCAGAGCAGTTTCCAAAGCTCATTATGATTTTCGTGCATATGCAGTAGAATCATTGTTTTTATACGGTATGTGTGCGAAAAGAACTCATTGCAGTACTTGTTTACATTTGTTCCTTGAAGAGTTCGAAGCATATAAAATGCACTTATCTCCTTAATTTAAAAACTCGTTTTTTACGAATTCCTCCCCGTTTTTTATGAGCCCCCGCTTATTAGTTTTTAAAAAATTTCCCATTCCCCCCCTCACTATTAAGACCCCCTTCTATCAAGCACCTGAGAGGACTCTGGTATCCAAAGGGAAATCCTCCCTCTTCACAATTTTGGAAAAAATATGGAAAATTGACCTCCAGCCAACCTTATTTTAAACCCCTCATTATGGATAATTTATCGATTAACCAGTTGTCCTTTTTATTCTATCCGCCACACATCAATGAAAGCAAAAAATTTACATAAAAACCAGATTTATTAGAATTATTTTGACGAAGCGAGTGATCTTTTAACATCTGCTACACCCAAACAACCACGTGATAAATCTCAGTGCCACGAACAATACGCTGTACTATGTTATTTTAATTCTATGTTTTTGCAACCTTTACTCCTATTTTGGCCGCCCTATTTTTTACGTTTTTTACGAATAGTCTACCAACCCCCCTCTTCTTCGATATGAGTGTAGTAACAAATTTATCATATTTCTTGTAATCACCTTGAGTAAGTTATCCTCTTTATCTCTTTCAGTCGAATCGATAAAATCAAAATGGAAAAATCTCTGTGATTCCTACAAAAAGTGTTTGGACAGAGAAAGAGAATTCTCAAAATCTGGCTCTGCTTCGTTTAAACAACCAAGATGCCGTTATTACGATCAGCTAACGTTCCTTCGTGATGTAATAACAAATCGACAAACAATAAGTAATCTTGCACTCCCATCATCATCTCCTCTATCACCCTTGCCATTAGATTTCGTAGGCAAATCTTCCCCTGCTCCTTCATTTACATCAAATAGCAGCTACGAAGCAGATGAATTTCGGCCTATGGAACCTAGCTTCGAAACAATTAGCAGGAAAGCTAGCACTGCTGCACAAGGAAAGACTAGCTCAGTAAAACGAAGTAAAAGGGCAGCGGATATGGACCCAGTGGAGAGTTTTCTCATTGAAAGCATCCAGAAGAAGGCAAGGCCAAATGATGATGATCCTGACGATCTGTTTTGCCGTAGTCTTGTGGCTACACTGAAAAGATTGCCACAAAAGAAAAACCAAATGGCAAAACTCAAAATACAACAATTACTTTTTGATATTGAATATGATGAATAATGTGTTTAATTTTTTTTAATAAATGAAACGTATATCTATGTCTATGTCCTTTTAGCATGAATAATTTCCCACTGCCAGGGTACCTGTCCGGCTTCAGAGTTGAAATATTGACAGAACAAATCTCTGACTCTTTTTGCCTCTTTTGAGTAATTGTTAGAGCCAATCCTACTCACTGGAGCAAGGCCTGTGTCACCTTCAACAATCCTTCTCCAATCGCCTTGTCTCTGGTTACACGTGCCATCAATATCAGCAAAACCTTCAGGGCAATATTGGCTGTTCTTGAATTTTTTACTTTTCATCAGATAATTATGCAAAGCAACTGATGCCTTTGTGCAAGATTCTACGTGTTCAACTTTGGCATTAATTGGTCGACTAAAAATGCGAAATCTAGCCGTTAAAATGCCAAATGCATTTTCAATAATTCTTCTTGCACGACTAATTCTATAATTAGCAATGACTTTATCCAGTTCCATTTTGCTCTCTGAGTATGGTTTTACAATGTTTATTCTTAATGGAAAAGCATCATCTGCTACAAATACGTACGGAAATTTATTTGTAGTTCCACTCAACATTCGTGGCACAGGGACAGTCAGAAGATTGTTTGTGATGCTATGACCTATGTTACTATTTGCAAAAACACCAGCATCACTTTGACGCCCTGCTTCACCAATATCTACCATGAGAAATTCATAATTTGCATTGCAGATAGCAAGAAGAACGATCGAAAATGTTTTTTTATAGTTAAAGAATAAAGAGCCACTTCGTGCAGGGGCTATAATGTTAATGTGCTTGCCATCCATGGCACCGAGGCAATTGGGAAAGTTCCAGCTACTTTCAAATTCAGAGGCAACAAGCTCCCACTCATCAACTGTTTTTGGAACTTTCATGAAGCCTTCCCTTATTAAAATGTCCCACAGTGCATCACATGTCTCTGGTATTAATCTACCAACTGTTGTCTGGCTTATTCTGTAGCTAGCTGCAAGGCTTATGTGAGAATCACCGCTTGCCAAGTAGTTTTCGTCTTCGATGCAACGCAAGCAAAATCAAAAGCTCCTCACAAGACAAGTTCATGACGCAAATGATTTATTTCGAAAAAGAAATTTCGCAGAGAACTGGAGATTGACTTGCGAAAATTTTCTCGAGAAATTTTTCGCGGGAAATATTTCGCAGCGAAATTTCGCAAGAATTTTTCTCACTGGAGATTGGGCTTAAGTTTTTTGTTCTTTATTGGACAGGTAAAACATTGTGTTGGACACTTTAGAATATTTTTCCCAAGTGTACACTTTATAGCAGGATCTAAGAACTTTTACCATCTTTACAGTGTGCTTTGTTGAGATCATGTGATCTTATAATGTTAAGAGCCTTTCCAATTTGGCGATATGAAAATAATTCAGGAGGGAATCGAATTAGAGGGTTAAACAGGATTTTACTCTGTATTAGTCAATGAACTTTGAAATATAGATAAGACTTCAAAAGTTTGACATTTTTGTTCAAATCAGACATAAATACTATATTCTCCAAAAGAGGAATTGCAGGAATGTTTTCAAATTTCAATCAAATCAAATTTAGAAGTATAGATTCTTGTATAGATAAAGTATGGTTATTTGATTTATACAATTCTGCATTTTAATTAATCAAGCAACTTGTTGAAATATATCTTTTTCTCCATACATTTTTTCATGACTCATCATCTTCTCTTCAAGAACCTCAAAAACAGACAATTCAAAAAGAAGATACTATAGATTATCTCCCTCTGGCATGTAAGTACAATATAAATTGTCTCATTATATTTATGTAATTAGCCAGTATGCTAGTGTTTTAATTGTGCCACTATTAATTTATAGCAGCTATAAACTGGTTAATTTATTCAGTAGCAAGAAAACAGGTTTTTAATTTCAACCTTAGAAAAATTAATCCCATTGAAGTGATTTTCAAACAAAGGATTTAATAAAAGATTTTTTAAATTTGAGATCAACTGACATGCTAATAGGATTTTGAACGAATGATGTTGCCTGTCTGGGCTGTTAGAGTATCCACATATATTGACCCGAAAACATTTCCTCAATATTTTAGAAATAGATAAAAATGAAAGTAGCTTGGAAAAGTAGAAAATGTTTTGTTAAAGTACTTAATGTGCAACACTCTAAGGAGTGTCAAAGTAAAGCTGAGTTCCACTTTTTGCAATGATTCAAAATTTTGCAATACTAAAAGTTGTTTGTTATTGATCAGTGGTGTTATCCAGTATATAGCACCTTAGTTAGATATTTAAGGACCCCTGATCTAAACCCTATCTAGACTGGGATTTTTGAGTTATTATAAGATTAATAGGGGCTGATTCAGCCCCTTGCTAAAATCGCTGTTCATTTGTTTATGTTAACGAAAATCATCATGCAGGCATTAACATAGAGATTAACATAGATTGATTTCCTCAACAATGTTTCTTGAAATAAATACGATATCATAATTATTCAAGACATACTGGCAAGAATATGCAAAAAGAATGCGAAAAATAATCTAAGATTGATTCATGAACCAAAATTTTGGTGATCAAAGCGCTGTTAGAAGGCCAACTTTGCCTAGAATTTATTAAATTTGATTTAAACAAATCCTAGATGGCGGACAGAGGGAATAAAGTTGGCTCTGACCACTGCGCAAAGAAGAGCCACCTTCCCCCCAAATGTCATGCAAAATCACACTTCATATTGATAGAAACCAAAACTCAAAAAGCTCTATGCTTGTTCAATCTACCGATTTGGAGTAGTGCTCTTTTAAGTAGATTTTTTCGAAAGGTGCCCCAATTTTTGGTATCCATGTTCTTAAGATTTTGCTCAAATTCATCTTACTTTCAAAAACCTTAACTGAGGCATAAAACTCGATTTACCCCTAGTTAATAAGAAAAGTTATCATGTTTGCATCTTGCTATTTCATAAGACATGCTCTACACCCGATACACTTTCAAGTGATCAGTAAATAAGGGCCCGTCTTAATTCTTAACTAAGGGGCACAGATGCCTTCGTTACTCCACTTTAAATGAACAAGGAAGTAACTAAATTGATAGATGTTTAAAGATTTTACTCAGTTTACCTCAACTGCTTTCATTTTTATATGTTGTAGATTATTAGGTTAGTTTGATCAGGCACTTAATTTAGGGGGCATATGAAAGGATAATTTTTCTTGGTAATAACGTCATTCAAGGATTGATGCTGAAAAATAAAGTAATTTGCGAGGAATGTTTTCTAGGAATGCCTTTGATTCTTATGTAATACATTAATAATTTTCTAATAGTCTGCCATCGTTCAAGTAGTTCTGTGTGTTGGGAAGTGTGATCTTATTGTCTTCACCATTGCATAGAACAAAATAGAGAGAGAAGAAGCGACTTAGACTCCGTTTACACTGTGCCGGATAAATTTTATCCGCATCAAAATTAGTTCAGATATGCGTCGCGTTTACATTAGACCCACGCTATCCGCACGAATTTGAGAGCGGCTATCCGATCAAAATTAGTTCACCTAGGAACGTGGATTAAGTTAGTTCGGATAGCTATGTGGTACAGTGTAAACGCTTTTATCCGGAAAAATTTTAGCCACATCGTATCTTGCTCGAAAGCTTTTGGCTATTTCATTCAATTTAGTTTTCAATGTCTCCCAATCAAGACCGTTCGCCATCTTGGCTGCATTATTGTCGATAAATACTCGCGTTAAAAATGCAGTATCTTGCCAGTCCACGTAAAATTGGCATCCTTATCAGCTTTCCCTACTTTCGTTGCTTGTTTAGTGTCATTTTGTTTCAAGACCAGACTATTAAAACAAACTAGGCCGTATTTGTATTGACAATATCTTTGGATTTGGTCTAAAAAGAAGCAGATGATTCTGAAGAGAGTATAAAGTATTTTACGTTGGCGGGAATTTTGTTATTATTTTGTTGCCCAGAGAAGACTTCATTTTTGGCGTTCTGTGCATGGTTTAGGTCATGTGACTGCAGTTAACCGGCACAGTGTAAACGGGAGGGCAAAGTGGACAAGATTTGTGCGGCACAGTGTAAACGCAAATCAACCCGAACAGGTTTTATGCGGATAAATTTTATCCGGCACAGTGTAAACGGGGTCTTAATGAACAATGTGTGCTCACCGTGATGTCATTCATTGAACAAAGTATAGATAGAAGAATTGACTTAATGAGCATATGTGGCCACCACGATTTCATGTTTACAACCCTTGTGCAAACGACGTTTTAGAAAGCAAACAGTTTTAGAAAACCACCTTGCAATAAGAAATATTGCACACAAACCCAAACAATTAGCCAATTTGTGAAGGCAGACGACATGGCATTAAAGATCTTTCGAATAAAAGATGATCGGAAAGAAAATTCCAAAATGATAAAGCTAAAAACCTTAATAGCTAGTTTATTTTTTATATGTTGATTAATTTTTGCGGAGAAATTTTATAGTGAAACGCCGTCACTGACTTATTGTTTGCACTGAGTAAAAAATTTACAGAAGGAGCCAAGTTGTTTTCTATGGAATCGTTTTTTTTCGCGTTACGTGTTCAATAGAAGTTCGTATTCCAGTTTGCTATGACCAATGAATAATTCATACTTTTCAAGGCCCTTGTCTTTAAAGTTAAACATTAATTATTGAGTGTACCTTTTTGCCGATTTAACTAGAAACAACCTACACAATCATGTACACTTTTATTGTGGATGTTAATGCCCTGCGCGAGAAAACAGCAAGCTTTGTCCCAATTATCGTTTCAAGTAGAGTTCCAAGAGCCATTTCATTACTTTGGTAGAAAACAAATAAAGCCATGGCCTAAATTTCTTATCCGCTTTCTTGCCTCCCTGTGGTAAAGGTTCTTACCTCTTACGTAATACCAACCCTTGAATGATATTTTGTATCTTTTCTGGAGCTTTATTACAAATTTGGGAATCTGCAACTGGGCTGTTTGCAACCAATTAACTGATTTTGCACTCTAAGAGAAGTTTTCTTGTTTTCTTTCAAGTTTTGTGGTCAAAAGTTAGAAATTCTAAGGCTAGATTTTGATGTCATCACTATAGAACTCTGTTATCAATAGGTTCCGTAGATGATCTTGTAGCGAGGTTTGAAGCGAAAGGGAAATTGATGGAATGCCATAAATGAGGATACGTTAACTTATGTTTTTTCGTTAAATGTATGTAACAGTTCTATCTACCAATCCCATAATTGATAAACATATCAGCCCATTCTCGTAGTTCACTGTCATTATGAATCATCAAAAGAAACGGCCTGGTTGTAGCTGGTATAAATTCAGATTTATGAACTAATTAGAATATCGTTAGCAGGTCAGTTTAGGCAGAGCTGTACATGTTTTAATGGATTGACCTAGATAGTAAGATATTCCTTCTAGATGAATTCAAGTTGAGAGGACTTGAAGTTGCTACTTCAATTTCAACTAAAATACTTTGGAAGAATTAGGGCCTAAATACGGGGCTTGGCACTGATCAAATCACTTGCATGTGCCAATAGACAAAGCATTATTTCTCGATCGATCATTAGACAAAGGATAATTTCTGAAACAAGCAAGCTGAACTTTGCTATCTTCTTCTTCTATATGTTTTGTTATGTTTTACTTACGTCCTATTTTCTTTGAATTTCTTCCTTGTTTGGAGAAATTCGTTTTGAGGGTGCACTTAACAGTTTTGCCTTTTTGCATTTTATCGTGGATATTCAGAGAATTGCATCACTGCAAAAGTGCCTGATAAATCATTCGGAAAACGCCTGGTGAATCATTCTAGACTTTTTTATCCCTGTGCACTACGTTCTTGTTAGTCATCATAAAAAGCCTCCTATTATCTTCTAAAAGGTTATATTGTATACATCTACAATCACTGCCAAAATTACTTGGAACACCCAACACTTTGCGCTGTTTTTTTCTATTTTTCATTTGTTTTCCCGAATACTACTACTTCCGTCCCCCTTTCCCCCAAAACAATGTTGAAAGCATAGAATAATATCAAACAAGCTATAAGAAAAAGCGTTCTACGTACCCAAACAAGCTATAAGAAAAAGTGTTCTTTTTTCTATAGTAAATCAACATTGTTCTTAGGGGGAGAGGGGGTGGCTGAATTTGCCTTTGAAAACTTACGTTAGTTTTCCAAGACTTTTGGCAGTGATCTTTCGCGAGCATGTTTAACTAGTCGCAACTCCCGCGTTGTTGTCATATCACCTGATTTGTGGAGCCAGTAATACAGCTGCCGTGTTTAATACACTGTTCCCTAAGGCAAAACATCGGAAGAATGTTGAATAAGGTTTTTTATAGGCTCCTCTCATCAAGGATCAACGTGTTCTTAAAAGATTATCTTTGCAATAGACATACAGATATTCGCTTTTACCTTTGACGTTCGATTTTCTTGCTATTTCGCATATCGCTTCTTAGTCAAAATTTTCGCATATCGTTATTTGAGAAAAGTAGATTGAATTTGGACATCTTTTGTCCTTGCGCTTCGACTCTGGAAAAGGATATTTTTTAACTATTTTGTTTACATCTAAAAGGATATATCAGATTTGCTTGATTGGTGATATCGCTGACTATTCTTCAGAATTTCAAAGGTGAATAATTTAAGATTGAAATCCTATATTGCATAAGTTTTAAGGCATTCTTCCTGCAAACATGGTTATCCTTGATATAAACCTTTGTTGTTGTGTCCAATATTTTGCAGCGTTCTTTTCCAAATCAAACCTTATCGCTATCAGTAGCCACAATACTTAAATATTAAACCAGAAAGTCACTTTTATTATGATTATATTTATATTCATGAGTCATACCTGTTTTGAAAAAAAAGGCTGGCAAGAAATCAATAGTTTTTTTACAATTCATGCTGAATCGAAACAAAAATGTACAAAAGAAAAGTGAGAGCTTTTGTATATTCTATCAATCGATTTTTTCATAGCAGTAACAAATATATCATAATACGAATTTTTGCTGAAAAGAAGCGTCGAAGGAGGGGATGAAAAACTTTGGAAGGCGGGATATTTGGAAACCCTATAGCTATTATGTTTTATCTTATTTGTTTCTCTCACACTTTTCTTTTTAGTCCATTCTCGTATCACCGCGAGATATACTTGTTTGAAATCGTGACGCGATTACCCTATGCTTCGTAAACAAGAAGTAAAATAAGATGTTCTTACAGAACGTTCCGCGTTTTATACACCGCACATGCCACCGATGAACTGTTCTTTCGCCCGTTATTTTTTAATGTTATTGTATGTGTTCATTGTGCTTCGTGTGGTTAGCCAGTCTGCAATTATTCAGGGCTGCATTGGCAAGTTTGCTTCGAGCGTTGCTTTTGGGAGATGTCTTCTGGTTTCTTGAGGAGTGATTTTTCATTTGTCGAGCTGCCACGTCGATTAGGGAAAGTCATTAAGAATGCGTTCGATGGTAAGGGTTTCGTTGTTTTGTTTCTTGCAGAATGATCAGCAGATTAGAAGTTGAGTAGTTGATATGATCTGACAGTTGTCATCAGGTTGCCCATAAGTGTAAACATTTTGTTTTGCGGGCTTGAACACTAGACCTTGATATCCAATCTATTCTTTTCCGAAACCAACCATGTTATATTGAGTCATCAAAATCATTCTTTTGGAGATCGAAAAATTATCGCTTTATAAATGAGCGAATGTGTTTTGTCGAGTTTTGATATTAAAATACACCTTGATAGTACTGCCCATTTGTCAGCAGTTTCACGTTTTCTGTTTATTGACCATGCGATAATATTGGTGGACTGTTTTTATTGAAACGACAATTTCGATTGCAGTTTCAATGTTTTTCGTAGAATTTTGCATTTGAAAAGTTTAATCTTTGGAAAACCACGCTTGAAGCTGTTTGCGGGCGTAATTCTTCTGAAATATTTATTGCAACAGCCGTTAAGACAATAAAAGACCGAAGCAAATGGAATCAAATTATAAGCTAGGATCTTCATTTCGTATTTGTAAGTTTCCTTAAATCTAATGCCTGCTTTTCACTTTGGTCAATCGTTGCTCAAACTGCGATTCTTTCAGTCACCCACGCATTCGTTTTGAAAGAAAACTGATCTATATTTTTGCTAGTGCTAGATTGAATTGTGATTGTATCGTAATTTCCCTCTTGCTTGAAAAACAACAGACTATACCTACACCGTGACTAAAAAAGCAAATAGGTTTTTCGTTTTGTAGAGATAAATAGTGAATTCGAGCTAAACTTGCATATGAGAAAAGAAGGGCTTTTTACGAATCTTTATGTTGATAACTAAATGGTATACCAGTGGTTAGCTGTATCACAAAAAAGAGGCATCAATGCTAGACTGCCCTGCTACCTATAGCTTGAGACAAGTTAACCTATTATTGAAGTCATTTCAAGCCCCTTTTTACGTCATCATACTATAGATTTCTTTATACTCATTCCCATAGATAAGCGTCCTGTCTTTATCCTTGGAAGTTAAAAATCATAAAGGGTCCTGCATGCCCATAAGGGATAGCTGTAAATTTGACGGACACAAATTTCGTAAATTTTCTGCTCAGTTGTTGACGAAATGTGATTGAACAAAGCACAGTATGGATAACTAGGTTGACGATTCTTTTGTGATCAATGCCCGAATTCCTCTCGGTGTTTATAAATATGAAGATGACAATCAAGCGTTGGAAATAAGAACTTTGCGGGAGACTGCAGACTGGCGTATAAGTGTTGAATGTTTTTGCTTCTTTAATTGTCAGATTTAATCGAAGTTCCTCTTTCAGTACAATGTTTTCCCTTATTTGGCTGTTTTCCCCTCGAATACCTCATTTTAAGATCAAATTGACTGACCTGTTCGGCTTTCCATTAGAGCTTTCTAAACAAAAGTTTCTTTGAAACAAGACTTATGCAAGTATTCTTCTGATTCCGTTGGCATTAATATATTCTAGTATACTCAATTTACCACTTTGAAAGTATTGATTTCGTTTTTCATTCAATATTAGACGATTTCTGGTTCCAACGAACTCGATATTCAAAACCTTTTAGACCGTAGTGTAAATTTATCACCAGGGGCTATCTCCTCGACTCCACTCTACAGTTGTTCTAAAGTTGTTTTTTTGTTCGCATAACAAACAAAGCTAGACTCTGGTTTACCCATTTGTTGTCACTTGCAAGAATAAGCGTAGCAGCTTCGTCTTTTGCAGAATTTTAAGGTGTTGATGTCATTCTTTGTGCCTCAATATCTTTTTTTCCCCTCGTTAATTGCAGCGCAAGGTGCTTTCCATCGTATTGAAACCTACTTTTAAATGTTTGGATGGTTTCCAATCTTATTCTTTACTTTATTTGGTAAGTTTTGTTGGGTATAACCTATTTCTCTTTTCAATTACCCTCACTTTAAGTTAAATATAGCGGGAATGCTAGCGCTCTATGTGTTAAATAAACCTTCTTCTTGCTAGTTAAAAAATTTGTTCTAGTATTGAATTTAAATCTTCTACCTGTAATCAAGAGTCGAGAAAAGTGGTTTCGAACGGCTGATGACCTACGGAAACGTTTCTTAGAACAGGATAGCGAAAGGTCTTAGCTAGTTTACCCAGGCATTGCTTTGTTTTGATTGTTACTTTAGGAAGATTCTCTGGACTCTGCTGTGGTCACTTATTCTCGTCCGTTGTTATTGTTGTAATATAAGACGTTCACAGTCATAGCTAGGTGGTTTGTACCAAGCTAGTGCTATTTCGACGGCTGTAACGGACATTCCCATAGTAACCAAAGCCTATACGCTGTTGTTGTGATTGTCCCAATGATCTGCGAAGGTAGTAAGAGCCTGCCCTTCTTCTTAATTTCGATTTGAAAATATTACGATTATTACTCTACAAGAGCTTGCTGCACAACATTGTTTTGATCTGAACCTATCTTTGCACCTGAATTTCTGCGGTTCCTCCAGCTTCTTGTTAACTATTATTGATGCAGTTCATAAAGCTATTTGTTGTTGCCTTAGAGAGTAATCACGAAAAGCCAGAATAAGGCCTTAAATCCAGTAAAAACCGATGTCATCTTAATAACAGTGTCAACAACATTGCGTTCTCTGTGCTTTTTCCTGCTAGCTATTTTTGGTCACATGTCTCAATGTTTCCACCCAATCAACAGCGACTAGCATTAATTTCCACCTGCTTAGTCGCCAGTTCTTTCTTCTGATTATATTCTGAAGCTGTAAACTGCAAATTTGGTTCGTCTAGTAACGGTGGATTATTTGGTAAGCTGTTTCCTGTTTTGAAGATTTAAGATTTTTGTCATCTTCTTTACGTCTTTTTTGTTTTTGTTTTTACCGGGCAGCTGATTTGTGCAATAAAATAATGTCCCACATCACCAGATGTCAAGATTCCTTTTTGTATGAGCCTCGTTATCGGGTGATTAGTCTTTATGCCGTATGCTTTCACTATATAAGTGGTTTCACTATATTCCACCTAGCTCAAGAGTTTTTTTGATCTATTACTATTGATAAAAGTAACTAGCGAGAATAGTAATCAAGATGCTCTAGGCATTCTGGCTCAAGCAGTTTGACTTTTACAGGTGATACTGCCGCTCTGCTAACTTGAATTCTGCTTCATATTAAGCCTAGTTGTTTTCCATATTTTTATGCAGCTTGCTTTGAAGCTATTCCAATTACGATCAGAGCTTATCTATCATCTCATGGCATCAGATTGTTTTAAGTTAGTCTGAGAGAGCTTGATGAATAATCAATGTCTGCAGTAAGGAAAGATACCAGCAGTCTGTTTTTACATCTAACGACGATTTCTATCTAATCTGCATTAATCTCATCTACGAATTTGTCTAGCATTGTTTCTTCATTTTTGATTTTTTAAGCAAACTTGATTTTAATGTTTGTAATAAATTATCGTAAACCTGATCAGTGTTTTACGCGTTTAGTGTTATGTGAGGGAGACTGGAATACAGGGTAGAGGTCGAGATCGCTGAACGTACTTGAATTAGATTTAAACCAATGATTGCAAATAGTGATATTGCCCAGATATTCAGTAGGTGTGAAGGGATAGTTTGCTGTTCAATACATTTGTGTATATTTGAGTATGTACAATACGGTGTTTACTTCATGTAGAGCTGTCATTTCTATGTACGAAGAATGAGTAGATATAGTAGCGGTGTAAATGCGATAGAATACTCTTGTCTTGGGGCTCTCTAAATGTTCATACATATTATTCTTTCTAGTTTTAAAAAGAACAGGCATTGGTGCCCCATTTCGTAGGTGGTGATCTTAATTTAAGGCTCCCCTGTACTTAGCTCTCCGTAGGCTTGTTAATTTCAGAAGTTTCCGGTGGAAGCTAAATTGGAGAGGCGTATTAAACGAGAGTTGGGCCTAAAGCAATTATCTGAAATTCGCCAAAGAAGTAGCTCAATTTCAAAGCTTTTTCGTTGTTTTCGATTTTTATTACGAGCAGCTTGGCATGTTGACAGCAAACACGTCGTGAAATGGAAACTTTTTTAGTTTTCGATTTGTCAGTAAGGGTGTGATTTTTCGTAGACTAAAAGCATTTTTTTAACAAAAAGACATTTTTCTTTTGGGGGGCGGGCTATTGAAAGATGGGGCTTGTTAACAATTTTTACTTCTAGTGTAGGGGCGAATTCGACAGTGAGCTTATAAAGGGGGGGGAATTCGGGGATCAAAGGTACGTGGAAGTTGTGTATTGATATCATTATTTAAATACAGTCTATTTAGCTAAAATATTATATTTTTTTCCAATTCTCAATTGAATTTCCATCCTACTTTGTAAAGACATTAATGGACTGTTTTTTTAAAATTTTTAGCATTAACCAGTGCAGCACAGAGATATATTTAGGGAATGGCTCTGCAGCGAACATTCTGCTGCAAGTATAATCCCTATTTTTCTGGAAATCATAAAACTGAAATCTACGCCATTTAAACCGCCAAGCTAAGACTGACAAAACCTAGAGCCAGTGTTAATTTATTCATGGACGGGTGATGTTGAAATCTAGATCCTTTTTTGTTGAATGCAGAAAGCCTGTTACTGATAACTACATTATTCTGCTTTTTGTTACTGAAAGTCTTTATTTGGATTCTGTTTCAAGCACTTTCAGTTGAATCTACTGAGTTAGCCTCTATCCTGTTAATTCATAATGATTAATCCACTTACATGGAGTCACACAATCTGTCAAAAACTCCTGTATTCGCATGATCCAGCGTTCTATAATTACTGTTAAGGAAAGACGATTTTGCAATTGTGTCTTTTACTCTGATTATAAATGTTAATAATTCATACTATGACAGTAATTTATTGTATGTCATGCACGCGATATGAGAACAAAATTTTACCAGTAGGCCGCACATGCTCACAACAATCGAATGTGGCCCTACAAATGACAATAGTAGCGTTTTTAGACAAACTAATTTAAGCACACGTTTTCTTAGCCTAGTATCAAAGTCTGTTACTTTGATGCAATGCAAAGAAGATTGCCCCTGACGCATCTCTCTATTATTTCACCGCCTAAAAGGAAACCGTTGTTTCTTGAACGATTTTTAATTCTTTCTGTTGTGTTGGAAATGAACGCAAGTCAATTTATACCTTTTTAAATTATAAATAATTTAATACAAAGTGAAGTCTTATGCTCTCATCTCTTTGTTTCGGTTTTACTAATTCCCATAGCAGGTTGTTTTGGGCTCCCGCCAGAAACATAGCGGAAAAAATTGTTCTCACACGCCCATGACAACAGCAAGGCTGCCACTTGCGTACTTCTGACCAATCCTAACATTGTTTCACATGACCTGCTTGCCTTGTTAACTGGCTGGTAAGAAGCCTCTGGTTATTTCGAGGTACATTATCTGTATACATAACAAATTGTGCTTTGATGAATTTAACCTAAGCCTGTTAGTTATGTTAGTTATAGTTTAATTAACAAATTATTTTCATTTTTCATTTTGTCGTTTAAATGTAACATTTTGTATACTTCAGAGTTAGTTTCCATTCTAGCATCTGTGAAATAATGTAATTTTTATGATAGCATCGATACCAATTCACAATTTTCCTTTCAAGGCATTTTTATAACAAATTAGGTTTCGGTTTTTGATACTTAATAAATTCTTAGTTGATTTTTTCATTGAAGCAAATTCGAAGAGGCCGTGACACACCTAGGCCATTATTTCTGTTGTGTTGCGTTCTGGATACGCCTGATCGCGTTATCGCTAATAAGGGTTTATGCCAAGCGCCAGGCGCACGGTTGAGCTGGACGTTTTATTGCAATTGATATATGGAAACCATATTTTGATATTAATATTTTAGCGTAAATGACTCGACTATTCGTCTCAAAAACTCCATTTTGCTAGGAAAATTTGAATTTGCAGTGGTATAATTTGTGTAATTTTAGGGATAAATTAACTAGTTATTAGGACATTTAAAATGCGATATAATTTGCATTGCAAATAATCGAAGCTCCTTTATTTGGATACGAATGTCATAACACTTAATTCATTGCTTCTCTCCACTTTCACATTTATTTTGCTGAAATTTCATTCCATTTTGCTTTATTCAGCTGAAATAGAAGCCTGAGAGATAGAGAACACTTCCGCATTTTCTCTGTCATTTATTGTTGCTACTTTCGGAATGTGCTTAGTAAAATATGATTTTCATTTTATCCTTGCTTTCCTAGCAAATTGTTCCAGTAATTAGTCATGTATATGCTTCTCTTTATTGCCGCATGCATTTTCTAGAAGATGCGTATTGCACCTGTGATTTTCATTTGAAATGATTCTTTTGTTTTGCAGTTGATGCCGATGAAGATATCGCATCTTTTGATCCCTTCGCTCCGAAGAAGGCACCGAAAAACGCGTCTAAAACCTTACCGCGCATGAGTACGGTTGAGGTGTTGAATGATTTCGAAGATATCACACACCCAGAGAAACAACAACAACTGGACGACCTCGGTACCGACCAGGAAGCTGATCTTCTGCGAAGCCGCACTGTTATCGTGAAACGAAGCAGCTCGGAGGATCCAGCAATGGCTTCTTCGCCAAATGAGAGATTCATTGTAAGTAACGTGTTCCTCAAGCTCATTGCTCTTAAAAGGCTATCCACATTTATTAAAAGAGAGAATAAAGGATTTTTCCGGATCAAGCTGCTTCCTACGTCAAATACAGGTTATTTCTTTCAATAAATGCGTGTTCAGTGGCCGATGTGGGATGTTCCTTTCAATTAATGGCCAGTTTCCTATTTATAGACTTAAAAGTAAATTGTAGTATTAAAGCAAAATTGTACGATAGATGATGACTCGGGTAAGTACTTTTTTCTGGCTGACCATGATTCAGAGGCATTTGTCAATAGAAACATTTCCCAGTAGAAATACTCTTATCCATGATGATTTGCCAAAGAATAGCAAACATCCAGATCTTTATAAGTGTATCCAGTCGTCAATTCAACGATTCAAAGAACGAGTAAACAAAACTAAGTAAGCTTAACGTGCATGCAAATGATATTTTGGCTCTAGGCCAGCAACCATAGTATAGCTAACTTTCTTCACCCGTGCCAGTAAGGAACCTACGTGTAGTTTGTAATTTGTAATAAAGCAGTGAAATTTTGTAAGGTCAAAAATTTTTCATGTTATGCGCTCAGATTTTTCATAATATTTTCATCAGATATTGATATCGTTGAATATCCTATTGTTGGATACGGCATGCTCTTCATTTTCGTGCATAGCTAAAGCACAAGTCAAAACTCTATTCCTCCTTTTGATAACAGGACCTTGATACATTTCAGAAACGTGATTATCCGTTGTCTTGCTTCTCCTGTTTACAAAGCGTCTGCCTGTTTGCAGAGACATCGCCTGTCCTTTAAGGTGGAAACGCTATTTGGGAGAACAAGGATGTTTAACCTTCCATTGTTTTTCTCTACTACTTTGTCAGAATGGACAGGCTCTATTTAGATCAACTCCTGAATTTTACAGTTATTTCAACGAAATTTAAGCCTGGAATCTGCTAGAACAGCTTACCAACCTTATTATCAATGCTGTTTGGAACTTTTCCGTGTTTGCTAAACTTAAACTCTGTGATAATTCGTTAAGGACGCCTCAATAAAGCCCGTTACACCACTTGACCTACTTCTCTTTGTCTGGGAAACCAATGACGCGTTATTTTACGAAACAGTGTATTATCCCTCTGTAAAATGTAACCAAGAAAACTATGAAATCCTGTGTCATCTGCTGTTAGATTCTGATATTTATGTCTGTTTATGCAAAACAGTTACTCAAAAAATTAATTAGTGTACGGTAGAAGGATCGAAGTATCTTTTTATCATAAAGCATAATACAACATCTATTCCATTTTTGTCTCCTAAATTGTTCCGTATAACACTTTGAAAGAAGGATGATAATTTTGTGTAGACAGTTGTCACAACTCACTGCACAATTTCTATATTTGTTGCCTTCTTGATAGAAACTCCGATTGACGAAGTAAAGCGATTAGGAACAGTTGATAAGATAAGCTGGAGATTTTTATACTTCATACTAGAGGATTTTTAAATTTGATTAACTATGAACAGAACTTTCTGTAGCAAGCAGGTTCTCTTATCTGACACTGTTATCAAACTTAATTTTATTGGGTTTTTTAAACTCTCTGATGTTCTTAAAACATTCTTTTTTGTAAAGTTCATGTTTGTATGGTTGTTGCTGCCATTTGGTGTAGCTGCACCTGTTTCTCTTTCAATGACATCGGTTAGTGCGTTTTCAATAAATGTTTCGGCCACCCGAGTCTTTCAAACGCTATATCTGACATAATTGTACTATGCTTTTGATACCTGCTAATTCTTTCCACATTCTGCTTTTTACTCAATGCGCAATAATTGCCATACCAACACAAATCATTGAATCGTCAAATCATCAGATCACATATTCAGATCGTACGTGATAATCAACAGTTGTCGATACCAACGAACGATTGATCGACACATTCTGTCCGTACGTGTAATCAATAGTCAAATCATCAAATCGTCAAATCATCAATTTTTCAAATCGTCAAATCATCAGATCACATAATCAGATCGTACGTGATGATCAACAGTTGTCGATACGAACGAACGATTGATCGACACATTCTGTCCGTACGTGTAATCGATAGTCAAATCATCAAATCGTCAAATCATCAATTCGTCAAATCGTCATATCATCAAATCGTCAATTGTCAATTCTCAGATCGTACGTATCGTTTAACAATCATTTCCGTGTCTCGCTTCAGGACGATCTAGCAAGGTTGTTCCCCATCAATTCCTGAAATTTTGATTATAGGTCTACTGGCGCCCGAATCAGACTGCAAGCGCTTATGATGAAAGTCGAGGGATTTCTGTCGTCCTTGTATACTTTATAATACTCCATTCAAATTCATATTTTGCAAGTGACCTCGTCACGTCGTACATGATAAAGTGAAAGGGACTAGCCTTTAGTAAAACCGCGAGGCAGGTGCTGATGACAAAAACAAGCTTTTGCTAGATTACATTTGTTTGTTTCTTTCATTCGTGTCAGATGATTGCATGTGTGATATATTTTGTCGCCGGTTTGATTTGTTTTTAAGGTATTTCTTTGAAGTGAACCAGGTTATTTACAAATTAAACACTGAATTTAAATTGACACAGCCTTTTTGAACGCTTCAAATTTTGGAAAAGAGATAGCAAAATCTATGTCCTTTAAGCAAAAAGTAAATATTACATGGATTTTTTATTTGCTGACCCACTAGCACAGTTAGGTATTTATCACTGGGTGACGTAGAATGTCAATGAAGTGCTTAGATAATTTCACGTTTATACCACCCTTAATTAAGAAGCCTTCACCCTTTTTAACTTCTCCACAAATACCAAAAAAATATTATCATGCCGATTTCATATTCTTCTACTAAGTCTTCATTTCATAGTTTTTCACGTTTCCACTTTCCTTTGTCTTGATGCCATCTTGTTTGACTTTCATTCTTCTTAATCTTCAAATGTATCTACTTCTTCTTTTCTATTCTTCTTTTTCTCCTTCTCCTTCTTCTTCTTCTTCTTCTGTGTTGGTCCTTCATAAATACGTTTCTAATAGCACTTTCGTTTTTTTCCTAGACAATCAAAGAAAATGATGGCCGAGCCAGTCCAGCATTCGATGTTGTTGATGGTTCAGAAGTTGAAAACCCGCCTATGCCCGCGATTGGCACGCGGATTTCCCAAATATTCAAAGCACGAGAAAACATCGTTAGGTTACAAATGGCTGCTAGAGAAAATGAGTTCACAGAAAAATTTCCATTTTCGTAAGAAGCATATAAATTTTGTCTCCTTACATAAAAAATCTAGATCATCTATTGAATTATTGTCACTGGCGCTGTTTTTCTGAATAATACTTGATTGCGGAACCTTGTTACAACACACCAGAAATACTGTTTTAGCATACTGTATTGTCAACTCACTATGATGTGATAATTTTGTAATATTATTTTGCTTTCATCGTTCATTTTTGAAAGTTTTAGCAATGTCAAATGTGTATATTGTTACTGTTCGTATTGAGTCCTTGACATGTGCTTGAAATATGTCGAACTTCAAGTTTTGATACAGAATATCTTAGAAAACGTTCGGATGGATGTAGACAATTTTTACTAATATGTCGATCAATAGAATGTGAAATTTTTTTGTCAGAAATTTGGTGAGACGGGGTGCAGTTAATAGTTTATCTTTTAAATTGCAAGTCCGTCCTGTTAAAACTTTGTTTTGTAAAAATCAGTTCAAGCCCTTAATAAGGGTTTTCATTGTTGGGTATATATTGCTTTATTTTTTCAGAATTTTTGTTGGGACATGGAATGTAAACGGTCAAGTTGCGGGTGAATGCTTAAAACCGTGGTTTAGAGTTCAAGGCATTGCAGAACCGCCTGACATTATTGCAGTAGGGTAAGACATTCTTCATTTCGTTTGATGATGAATTGAAGTACATCATCTGTTATTAGTTGTTCGAAACTATATCGGCTTATTAGAAGTCTTCTATTTTAGTGCAGTTGTCGCTATTGGACCTACAATCAATCTGCAGGCCTTTGATATTTCTTTTGCTTTGTAGACAATAACAATTCTATGTTTATTGTTGAAAAATTTATGATTTATGACTGTTACAGTAAACCTATATTCTGTAGAGTGGTTGATGCCGTATATAAAGAGCTGCACATGCTCTGATCTACAGAACCTGATGGTTTCAAATTGCTCTTCGTAGTTTCTTATGAACCTGTTGTCAAAGCTCTGCTTAGTACATAGAGCTTAAAGCGAAGTTGATAGTGTTATAGCCAGTGCTAATACCATACCATAAGTACCATATTGGGAGAATAGCGAATAAATGATTTACAATTTATCCATCGCTAAATTGCTTTTCTCTTTAGATTTCAGGAGCTTGATCTTAGTGCAGAAGCTCTAGTATTTAACGATTCAAGTAGAGAAGAAGCTTGGCTCAAGGCTTTAGAAAAAGCAGTTCCGTCCGAAGCAGAATACACTCAGGTATGACTTGAAGAAGCACAAGACTTTCAAAATAGCTATGTCTAAATTGACCTTAATAACAGCAGTTTAAAGTTTCACATTTGGATTTGCTAAATTTCATTGTTACTGGTCTGACCATTCTTGATTTTAAAACTACAAAATACTATATTATTAAAATCTGAATTTAACGATTGCGCCTTGTTTCTAAAAGAAATCGTAGATTTCTTCTTTGTTTTCCTTGATGTTCAGTTTTTTTTTTGTCCGGGTACTTAATCTTCCGGGCACATTTTGTTGTCCGGTTACTCAATCTTCGATCATCGGTCAATTCTTTGAATCCAAATCCTTAATCTTAACTTAATAGAAATTTCTGTATCTTCTTTCCGTTGACCTTGGTCAAAATTCATTATACGAGAAAATACCGGGGTAGCAACACCCAGAGGACACCCACTACAGACCGATTTGCAGCTGAGAAAAGTTTTGGCTGAAACCTGTCCTAAACCCACTATCGTTTGTATTTGATGGGAATTTCTTGTTCTTATCACTTGAGATAACAGCATTTGGCTAGCAGAAGTAGAATTTAACTGTAAACCGCCACGAAAAGCTTCTCTTCAAGAGGATTTTCCCACGCAGTATAAGTGTGTTCTTGATTATCTCGGGTCGGTCAGCTCTAGTGACGTCTAGATTAACAGTTCACTGGCAAGGGTTCCGACTCATGCTTGCTGGCATAAATCTTGTTAGTGATGGTACTTTTTACTTTTTTTAATTAAGTTGTGTGAATTTTTGTGACAAGGAATTTGGTGAAGATTAAATATTGATTTAGGGCGCAATGATAGCACTATAGTCTTAGGGAGTTTAGAGGGTCCTAGCTTAGTCCCTTGTATTTTTTCATTCCTTCTTCTTCTCTTCACATCTTCTTCAAGTGAGAACTGACTCTAACTGTCGGGAAGTTTAAGCTTTTAATGCAAAATTATGTTTTTTGTGTGTTTTTTATCTAACATCCCTTCATTTTAAATCGGACACCACAAAGGACTTTGGCTACCAGCATACCCATATTAACATAATCATTGTAATATCAGCATTCAATTAGTACTAGGCGCAAGTACTAGGCGCAAGTATTAGGCGTAAGTACTAGGCGTAAGTACTAGGCGTAAGTACTAGGCGCAAGTATTGGTGTAAGTACTAGGCGTAAGTACTAGGCGCAAGTATTGGTGTAAGTACTAGGCGCAAGTATTAGGCGTAAGTACTAGGCGCAAGTACTAGGCGCAAGTATTGGTGTAAGTACTAGGCGTAAGTACTAGGCGTAAACTGATGTACGATGCAGCTACTTACCTTTGCTTTAAATTTAATAAAATAAAAATATGATTCTTTTATATTGTCCCTTTTCACATAGACCCTATGGACCCCATAACACATGGGGTTGGATTACATCTGTCAAGGCCAGTGGCTAATAATCCTGATTGCCTTCTACACTCGAAAATGGCTTTAAAAAAAGTAAACATTTGAGTAAAGTAAAGTTTTTCGTCTGACATTCTTCATATGTTTGCTTTTTTCAAAGCCATTTTCGAGTTTTGTACCACCAAAAGACTGTTTACATATTTCTAGATTCGCACTCACCGCCTTGTTGGCATGATGCTAGCAGTGTTCGTGCAAACCAAACATCAAGCACACATAATCGATGTCACGTCAGAGCACTGCGGTACTGGAATTATGGGTAAAATGGCAAGTTCATTGTTTGTTATGTTGTCACAATCATTTTATTTAAACAAGCCTTTGATCAGCCTAAATCCTCAGAGTCTATGCTTTTAGATTTTAACACTCTCTTTTTTGAAGCAATATTTGAGGTTGTTGATACAATTATTTAAATCAACATATGTTTAGTAGAATTTTGTAGAAAGGATGCATGTGCCGTAAGAAGATATAGCTAGCCTGCAGAAATGCGAATTTTTAGAAGGGATTTTGTAGGTGCCTTTGTAATAGGCTAGTTAATCGAGGAAAAACACCTGGAAGATCTGGCCATGCATTTCACCTCTTATTTTATTATAACACAGGTGTTCTTGCACGATATTAGAAAAAGCTTCCTTAATCGAAACCTTTTTAATTTGGAACCTGTTCAGTTGTACAAAGTTGGGCTAATTTGCAAAGCACATCTCAATAAGAACTTTTTCCAATATCCTTAAGACCCTGTTACTTGAAAATCCTGTTACTTGTGGATACTGGCCTAAGGCATATACATGGAGTACGATCCAAAACAATTTGCGTTTACACGGGATCGGATCCAGTTAAGATCTATAGATTACACGCATGCGTCATACGTCCTTAAACATCAGAGTTTAAAGCAAAAAAGCTGAACATGGAGGAGGTAAAGACACTCACAATTCAACGTGAAAGAGCTGTTCATAAAAGACAGACTCGCAGCAAAAATAAAACACGTGCTATAAACATATTTCTAAGACTTCTAGATTGATCGTATCGTACTAATTTTCAACACAGTAGTAAGACAACGTCGTATTTGGTTTTCTGACGCCAAACTCACGGAATACATGTTCAAAGTACTTCTAAGTAACAATTACTCTGTCTCACTTTCGAATAAAAACATAAAAGCATCCAATCTAGACCAGATCTAGCCGTTTACACGGGATCTGGTCCAGATTGGATTCTTACGGGATTACCTCTGAAGGCGATCCCAAAAGTATTCGGATAGCGGATCCAAAAGTATACGGATCCACTCGTTCCCATGTAAACACAAGACCTATCCGCACTCTTCTGGATCCGATGAAAAATGAAGATAACAATAACGACTTTAACTTATTCTGATAAAGGTATTGAATAGATAGTGTGTGTTGTACATAACGTTGGTTTCTCTTTTACAGGGAAACAAAGGGGCAGTAGCAATACGATTTCAGTTACATAATTCAACGATATCGTTTGTCAACTCGCATTTAGCAGCACATTTAGCCGAGTTCGAGAGGCGCAATCAGGTTTGTGCTTTTTTCTTTTTGACGTAGACTCACGTTCGCATTCTATTTGATGTATATATTATATATGAACATAGACATGAGGATCCAGGGATCTATTGCTTCAGGATCCAAAAATCTCAGGTTCGAGTGCCTACCATGAGCAAAATATCACTTAGAACGAGGTGGGTTCCTAGCTCGCTGTTACCCAGGCATAGAAATCACGGGGCGTGGTCACATTAAGAATGGACTGGCAAACTGCTCGATAAACATAGCTTCTCTTTGGATGCTAAGAAGCAACTTATAAAATGCAAAAAAGCAACTAAATAGCAAGTATTTTGTAGTGGGACCAAACTACGATAAACCTGTTGATTGCAGACTCGCTTGCTCTACGACATATGTGCTCCTGGGTATAAAGCAATAGACAGCAATGCCCGTGGTTTCCCGCCAGTTTTCATTAGCTTTTCGATTATGTTTCTACGTTCATATGCCTTTTCTGTTTCTAACACAGTGACAATTTTTTTAAGGATTTTAAAGATATTAGTTCAAAACTGCAGTTCTCTAAATTCGAGCCTCCAATGACAATCAACCACCACGAGTAAGGTTTTTCAATCGTATTTTGTGTAATATTTTCAGGATATTGTTGAAACAAACAAGCAATTTTTGGATGCACACATGCATTTATCCCTAGCGCACAGAGAACTTTTTTAAAAATAGCCCCAGATTTTGCGGATCTCAATTAGGGGCAACTTTATTCTTATCATCTGTGACCAAAGATCGCGAAAACACTAGATGCATGCAATGTTTATTTAATGCAAACGTTTTTCCGTAAACTTCAAAAGTTTTTATATAATTTTGTTAAAAAGGGTTCGGATTAATTCAGTAGAAATTCAGATGCACTGTAATGACATATACCTACTCTCGTGCGATCTTAGTTAAGTTGTCTCTAAAGATAGAGAACATCAGAAGGTATTATTAATCAGATGCAGAGATTCAGCAACAGAGAGATCTCATCTTTCTCTGAATTTATAACTCTATTATTCTTTGTCTTTAGCATATCAGAATGTGTTCATCGAACTTAGAGTTATCCGTTACGGCACAAGTTATTTTTTTCATTCTCTTTGTAATATGATCGAAGAGTTTGATTTAAGAGAAGTTTTAAATGAAGAGCATGCAAAAGAGAGACAGAATTGCAGTTTTTGATTGTTTTCAAGAAATTAACTTTCTATTTATTAGTGGAATTACTCATACCTCGTCATATTTTAAATGACGTTATTGATATTCGCTCAAGATTCAACACTACTAACACAAATGATTATTTTTTAGCATTGTTATTTGGTTAGGCGATTTGAATTATCGATTTGATGATTTGGAAGTTGATCAAATCAAAGCTTTAATTGACGAAAACAAAATGGAAGAACTTTATAAGTTTGATCAAGTATGTTTTTGAGTTTCGTAATTAACTGGCTTCTTTCTGTATTTTTAATTCTTTATAATTATTTTTTTGGAAATCTTTACAAGATTATATGAATCTCATGGATTGCAAAGAAAACTACGTCAGCAGCTTCATGAAGTTTCTTGCTATCGCAAACGTCAGTTTTAAAACCATGTTTACTTTGGCATTAGCACACGCAAATAATTTCTTGTCGGTGTTAATTTTTCATCCTAGTTTAATCAGTCACCGTAATTCAGAAATTGATCAATAATAAATGTTTTAGCAAATTTTCCTCTATTCGGTATACAGAAATTTTTTATCGCCATTCACTGTTAACTTTTTATACAACGAAGATTTGGCGGAACATCACCGATCTGTCTGCTTGTTTATCCACTGTTGTTTCAACAGATTACAAGCTAATCTGGCCATAGTAAGCCAATTGTAATCCTAAGCTTAATCTTGCTGTCACCCTGAGGCTCGTTGTATACTAATCCTGTAATCTTGCTTCATCCAGTTATGGAATCTTCTCTTTTCCTTTGAGAAATTTTCCACCCCTGCAATTCATTTCTTGTGAAAGTAGCTTAATGTAGCTTTTGGATGAGATTCGTTGGGCAGCAGTATAATTTTTCTGCTTTTCTATTGTCTCTAGCTACGTAAGCAGATGGTAGCTGGAAAGGTTTTTCAAGGATACACAGAGGGGAAACTGAAATTTAAGCCCACCTACAAGTTTGATCCAGGCACGGATGATTGGGATACAAGGTATGGGGTATGAATGCAATCAAAGCAGCTGTCTCTCTGAAATCACGCTCTCTTGAATTTCTTTTAAATATCAAGGCTAAAATCATTGCTTGTATAAACGAGAAGAAAGAGTTCACATTTAGTTCGCATAAACCACAATAGTTCCAAAACTGTGAACAAGTTTTTTAAAACACACGACCGATATAAAAGGTGTCTTGTGCCAGGGCACACGACAGAACAATTGTTCGTGGGACAATTGGAAGCCACTAGATGTTGTCACAGTTTGATAAACTTTGCAACAAAATGGAGTAGCAATGTTAGGCAACTCGTTAATTTACGCGAGCGGTGTTTTGAGGGCATTTCAAGAACTGAGCGATTAAACAACTTGGCCTTATAGCAGTCGTGTGTTTTTAGCATTTGGCTAGTATCTATAGCACGTAAGATGACTTGATTGGAACCGTGTAATTGGCCTTGAAAATAACATCGATTAAAATTTTTAATAAGGTATAACTTTATTAGTCATTGACGTCCGTACTGCTAACAGAGTTGTTGTTAATAAATCGATCATTTATGAATGGCGAAAGACTTTTTTTTCCTGAATATTCTTTAAACAAAGTAATCATATTAAATCTTATCAGACTTCTTTATTGTGTTGTTTGACTGAAGACACCAAGCCTACAAACATCTCGAGTTGTTTTTTCATTTTTTAAGTGTTATAAGAAAGTCAGACAACTGGCTAATTTAATTGCTACTCTTTATTTCTCTGCCTTAATGATCAGAATTAAAATGAAAATAATGTCATCCAATAAAACTATGCTGAATTCTTTTTTGTTCTCTTCTAGTTTATTTGTTACTTTTCCTTTTAGTCTGAATCTCTTTTAGTTGGAAAGCTTTCCCTTCAAACTTTGGTTTTTACTCTTTTTTCTGTTTTTCTACCTTTTTGCCATCTTCCTTCTTGCTTCATCCATTTCTCACTATTTGTCTTTTACCTTCTCTTGTTTCTTGCCTTTTTTCATTCCGATTTACTATCGTTTCAGCGAAAAAGGGCGTGCCCCTGCGTGGTGTGATCGAATCCTATGGCGAGGGAGAGGGATTGAGATAATGAAATATGCAAGTCAACCAGCGCTGAAACTCAGTGATCATAAGCCAGTCTGTGGAGTTTTTAAAGTTGGGGTGAGTTATCCATATAAACAAATCATGGTTTATTGCTTTAACGAAGTATCACCTGCACACGTAATTTGTTTTTATTTTGAAAATATATCCTAAAGTATGTATATTGTTACCGACAAACGCTTTTTGGTTTAAAGGACGGTTCTAAGTTGCTACTCTGAGTTTCACGCTTAATGCGATCATCAGGTAACTCTTCATCATCAGGCGATCATCGGAAACGTGAAACATTAAGCGTGAAACATCTAAGTAGCAACTTAGGACGAGAATGTTCTTTTCACCAGGCATGTACAGCTCTGCTTATATGGGATCGAGCCAGATCGAGTCTTTTTTTGCCAGACCAGTCAACAGTGATTTTCACTTTCACCTGCATATAATGACAATACCAGCCTGATATTCTAGCAAGGAATTTTATGCTGTGCCAGTAAACGTATTTATAGATTCTAAGAAATTGCATAAGATGACACGATGAGTTGATGAAAAAACGAGCTTGAAAAGCTTGATAGAAACGTCGGGAAGATAAAGGTTTCCTTGCCAATTATTTTTTAAAAAAAGCTGCTCCTTTTTGGTGGTTTAAGATGGGTCAGGAGATGAGAAAACAGTGACACTGATGAAAGGACTAATTATTGCACATCAGCGTATTTTCTGCCGGAAATGCTGCAGTCTTATTTGTCAAATTATATTCATTTGCCGTGATGGAGGCGATTAGATAGATATGTGAACACATGAAATAAACGACATCTTTAACAACGAGAAGCATAATTTAACACAATTAGCATAATACAACGAAACATGAGGAAATTATGAGTTCACAATCTAACAACATTTATGTGCAAAATCTTCCATTTTTTCTGGGATATGTTTTCGCTCTTATGCCTACAACCTACACCATGGTTACTGGAACTTTCCCACTATGAGAGGCTATAAAGAGGGTCAATTTGTATTATAAGGTTCCTGTGTTGACGTTTAATGTTAGCTGTGGACGTCTTTATATACAACCTCGAGAAACACAGCTTCTGTTTTCTCATCGTCAAATAGATTTGTTTTCTCGTCATTTGATAAGTATTGCATCATTCCTTCATAGAATTGATATCAATTTTCGTTTTGTTGCCAGTTTATTGCACAAAAGTTACCCTGATATAATTGGATTTGCAGCTGTTTCTTATCCCATGCCATGGTTTTTATCAGGCTGTGGTTAACTGTCAATCGAATCTAGATGTTGCAATTAAAAAAGACGTTTTTTCTAATAGAAAGACGACACTGTTTCCTCAGTTATTTGAAATTGCGCCTTGTGTTGATGTCGAAATCCTTTCTAACTGCTGTTTAATAATTTAAATGAGTGTTTAAAGATCATAATAGAAGTTCGTTATTGCAAATGAAGCTTGCAGCTTCAGCACTTCTCCAGGATCGAATACCGAAATCTAGCCAGGGAAAAGCAGATAGAATTGGTGTATCGTTGTTATATTCAAAGCTATTGGAAAGAAGAAAAAAATCGAATGCTTGCCATAGTATTGCAGATGTATTGATATCCTAGTTGCCATAACTGGCCGCTTTTTCCAGAGTTTTGTCGGAGTGAACTTTCAGCTGTCTGGATATCGACCGGCAACCAGCTTTTTGTATAATGGTATAGTTCTCTATGCGACGTTTTTTGATTGATAATGTTGAGCAGAACATAGGCTCTGGAAGTACCTAGTAAAACTAGTTAGAGTTATCTTTTCGCTGCAAATAGCTTAATGACGTAATTTACCGTGATTTTGTTATCAACCAGGCAAACATTGGTATTTCCCTTGCTTTATTTACAAACGTTCATTGACTTCAATTTAGACAAACCCCGATAACATGCTTCAGAGACATAAACCCCATGAGTAAATTAGGTTTTGCTACGTTGCTTTTCTTTGTAACATTTAGTATTTATTTGCAGCATCATTGTTGATATCACAGAAGTAGATTTTTGGTTGATTGCCGACTTCAGGCCGCGTAGTTTATATTCTGGCCGTATGATTTTTTAATGTAACCCGCTTAAGCTTCGCTCGCTTATTTTGCATCCTGAATCCTGAATCCATTTTAAGTTCTGAGATAGGAGCCTTTTTGAAAAGATCTTTATTAAAATTATTTCTAATCATATTTAACAAAGAAAATTTTTTATTTTTTTAAGCAAGGAATTTTCTGCTGCTATTTTTATTTGTTTTTAATTGTAAATGCAGATCCTTTAGTTAATTTAAGAATCGAAATTCAAGATTTATTCTTTCATTTGTAGATTAAAATTGTCGACAAGAAAAAAGAGCGACAAGTCTTTGAAGACATTACGCTCAAGTTAGACCGACTAGAAAATGAAAGCTTACCTCAAGTTAAGCTTGCAAGAGCCGAAGTAAGTATCAAGCTTGCTAGTGTTGTTTGCCACTGCTCTCTACGATCGCGTCGTGTTCCAATTAGCTGTGACCAAGTCAATCAAGGCTTGTTATTAGAAGGCCCAGGGTTTGACTCAAATCTCGTAAACTATTTGGACAACCCCAAGTTGTGGAAATCCCAGTGATTCACCTTGGTCTTTTGGAATGTATGCCGTATTGTAATTGTTCTCTACCACCATAAGCAAATACCACCAACCATAGTTGAAGTGCTCCCTTAACCGCCCCCTCCCCTGGTTCACGTACTATTGAACTCTGCTATTAGAATGAGTACACCTGACTCTTGATTATAGAAAGAGGGGGGTAGATGCTGCTGTATACGTCCATGTTACCAATCATACATTTTTGATGCATAGAAAAGGATAGTTCTAAGTTGCTAGTCCGAGTTTCACGCTTATTGCGATCATCAACAACTGTTTCCAATTATATGTTGTTCGATTTGTCTCAACAACTGCATCTAGGATTGCAAGTTACTTTTAATATGGCATGTATTTGCATATAGAATGAGATTATCTATTGCCTTGAATTGGGCCCGTTTCAAACGTCGAACTTCTCATGTTTCGAACTTAATTCAAGAATATGGTACATGAGAAGTGCGACGTTTGTATCAATTAGGTACGGCAAGTTTAATTAAGAGCAGCAGAAAAATTTGGATCGGCAAATCTTGGCGAGCTACGCAAGGAAAGCGCGGCTGGGTTTCAAACGTCCAACTTTTCATCTACCGAACTCAATGCATAATTTATTTTCTATCCCATAATTCCTTTCTTTGGCGGAGAGCGCATGCCCATAATTGAATTTCGGCGCGAATCAACATGGAAACAGCAAGGCCAACATGGAGTCTGCATATGCGAAGGTTTGTTGTGATTGCTCCCTGGCCTCTCAGTATCGTATTCCAGACGATACTCCACCAACGCTGGTTGCGTTTGTCAGTTTCCTCGAAGCTGTCAACAACAAGACCGCAAGAAACAGCACTTGAACGCTCGTTCTTCTTTGCTTCATTACAATCTTCAATCTTGCCTCTGCCAATCTCCGCTTCCTTCTGGATTCCATCAGCAATCTTCTCACAAATACGAAACGCTTTCTTTGTCGGGCCATCTTGAATGTCCGTAATCAAACCTGAAATACTTCATGTTAAAACATTCATTGACTTAAGCCCGGCGAGTGGCGCAATTAAGTTTGACGCCTGAAACGGCAGTTGCACCAAACAAGTCCAGGTGCTGAACAAAATTGAATCTAGTTCAGCACATGAGAAGTTTGACGTTTGGAACGAGTCTTAAGCTTTTTCTATTTTTCAAAATATCATTAATTTCATTGTTATAATAATCCTTCAGCTGTTAGCACGAGTTATATTGGCCTATACGAAGATTACTAGCCGTTTGTTAATTAGCATACAGCTAGCTAAGGACTAATTAACAAACTTAAATTAGTTCCGAAACAGCTTGTAAAGCTTTCAGCCTGATAACTTCTGATATATATGCTAGTTCTGGAGCTATCTACATACCTTTGTTCTAGTTTCATTTTGATGATGTCAGGTTCATGGAAGAGCAGTTGCAAATACTGCCAATCGCTAATATTGGGCAGGTATGGAACTGTGTGTTTTTTTGAAGGCAATCTTGTTGTGTTTTTGTTTGTTTAAAAAGTATTTATATGATATTTTATTTTCCATAACCCGGATGTGGCCATCTTCTAATAGTTGTAGGTGTTTTCTTCGACCAAAGATTGTCTTGAGATCATTTATATCTAAGACTCGTCTCCACAACTACATCCTTTTTATCATAGACTCTCCTCCACAAGACAACACGTAAATTAATGTCATAGAGTTGGGAAGTTGTGAGTCGAGTTGAAGCCATAAAACACAACTCATTCATGAATTCAGACCTTGATATATTTTTGGCAGATTTCTTTGAAAATCTTAAATATTTGCCATATGACTCTGCAAGGCTTTTCTTGTTGTTTTCTCGTCCAATTGTTTTATCGATTGCGTTGTTATAGCAATCTAGCAGCCATGGTTGGAAGATGTTATTTTTGTCTTTAAGGTACCTGCAGAATTCCAGTTTATTCCAAAATTAGATGACAAAGATATCTCAAAACCCTGGCTACGAATTCAGCCAAGATCAGGAATCATCATGCCTGGTTAGACATTATTTTCTCAAACTCTTAAGACAACCCCTTAATTTTTTTCATACTGTTATGTCCCTTAAAAATAAAGTTTCTTTGATTTTTATCAGCCTTCAAAATATGTGTTCTTATATTATTTTGTCCTCTGGCTAACTTTCTAACCTATAACAGTATTCTAGTGAACGCTTCTTAGTGAGAAAATTTCGCTGTATTTTCGATTACTACAAAATTCTATTTTTATAATGTTGCTGCTAGTTTGCAGGAAGAGGTAAGCATAGCGTAAACAGTGCTGCTAATTTGTTAGAATTTAAACATGATGTGTAGGAGGTTGAAATATCGGCTTCAGTTATAATGTTTCTGGATGGCTCAGTGTTAAGGCGCATATCTACGACCGCAGAATTGCTATTGGAATCACTGGTTCATTTAAGCTGACAATGAGGCTAAGAGGAGATGGCTTACGAACCACGAGACATTGTCATATGTAGAGCAAGGGCCTGGACCATGCCCAGTAGCCATCGTTTATAAATGCCCTGTGACCAATCTTTTGACTCTATGTAGCATCAATCAAGGCCTAAACACTCATCAACTCATGCCTTTCCGTCAACAGGCGACGTACAGGAAATCGAACTTACCATTGCTATTGACAAAGAAATAGTTCCAACCCTGAACAGTCAATTGAAGCTAGAAGACATCCTTGTGCTACACCTTGTAAATGGCAAAGACTTCTTCGTATCCTTTATTCTTTCTGACCATGTCGCGTTTGTAGAGCTTCAATACAGTGGAAAAACATGTCTTAGAAATCGCTATTACTTTCAGTTTTCGCAATCTACCATTATTTTTAACGTAGGTTTTTCGTTAAAGATATATCGTTGATAAATGGACTAAATAATATTTCGTGAAAACTAGTATGTATGGGTAGAGACTTGTTCGGGGGTGGTGGCTTATTCGATAATAGGGGCTTATTCACATCTTACACTTCGAGGGTGGGTGCTGTTTTGAGGGGTAGGCTTTTACGAGAGATAGTGAGTTTGTACAAGAGGGGCTTATACGAGGGGAGGCTAATTTCGGAGATTTACAGCAGTAGAGTTTTCATTGATCTTTATAATATTATTATCAAGCAACTTAAGTATTGGAGCTACTTAACAATGTGCTGTTTCAGAGGCCTTTTAAAGTAATCATTGTAAACAGAGCCTTTTTAGCGTCTTTTTAATTAGGTAGCCTAGGATAACAAATTTAGGGCTATTGCCCTTTCCAATTATGTAGTTTGCTTGTGTGACAGATTATCCTTGACTCAATGAAGGTACCAATTAATGCCAATTATATACCAAGCGTTTTTGGTTCGCCATTGCTTTCACTTGTAAAGATGTATGGTCCTATAAAGCAAATTCCATCTGAGTTACTACTTCGACTGGTATGTTTCAATTTTTGTTAGCCGCAAGGTTTTATTTTTTTCCTCTTTATAATGTACATAATTTGTTGTGCTCCACATCTTTGTAATGCATCAACCCAAAGTTTCAAGATTCCTTATTTTCAAATTCGAGTTGTTTGTTAACATACACGCTGTCAACCTTTTTGTTTCACAAGCATCCTCTTTTACTCCTATTTCATCTAGAACAAAGGCGATGTGGTGGAAGGGCCGGGTATCGGTACAGAGCCATTGCCAATTCCAAAAGAGCTATGGCTACTTGTAAACCATCTGTATCAGAATGGAATGAAACAGGTCTGTGTTAGAAAGTTATCCAATGTACATTCACTTATTTTTCTCTCATGTCATGGAAAGATAGCCAATAAACAGAATATACCTATGAGGAATTCGTGTCATCAGAGCTTTTTGATGAATTTCATGAAAAAACAGCTTTTTGATGAATTTCATAAATTGCTGAAAAATTCAAAGACATTCTTATTAATCCTGAAGAGAAGTTTTAATTTGTCTTTCAATACTGACCTTTAAGAATGAGGGTAGCCAGGTTATAATATGAAACATTCAACTCAATTCCTGCACATTTCTTGACACGATTTGAAGATGTTCATGCTTTGCAGATTTCTAAATCCCTTTGTGGGGTGTCACTATTTCCAAACGGTGTACAAGATTTTTTAGAACAGTAAGATCTTTTAAGGATTTTTCCGGGATTTTTCTTGAAAAAGGATGTTTGTCTAAGGTGCATGAGATTTTCGTGAAGTAATCCACGGTGCCCTTCGATGTTGTCAACAGCTGGTGAAAAATGTATTAGAATGAGCCTCTTTATAAATTGTACATTGTTGAAATTCCACTGTCTCTTATATTTTCTAGGAAAACATTCTTATTCAATCTGGATTGGATTCTGAAATAGTGATGATTCGCAACTATCTTGATAACAGCGAAAGAGGGACAATGCGTATCCTTTGAAAATATTTGGCTATAATTGAGCTTTTAGTTAATTGATGATAGACACAGGCACTAAAGTTTTTGAAAAATATTCAAAGGTTTTTTTGCTGTGTAGTAAGTGATATGCAGAACCGTGTGAAGTATGTAATTGAAGTACCATAAAAGTGAATCTAGCGTTTAAGATGCTACTTAAGAACATGTGACCGGTGCAGTTCCTAAACCGGAGTAACAGCATTTCTGATAAAGTGATATTTGATTCTAAATTTTTTTGGTTGTCTCAAACCAATAACCTGGATTTTTGAACAATATTCGCTTAAAGATTCACGTATGCAGTTGTTTCCTTTATATTTGGGTTACTTTAAAATCATTCGGGACCTTCCTGACTTAATTAAGCTGAAATTCTAATGTACCATTAACAATTTTCTTAGTCACAATGATTGAAACAAACCCTTAAACACGTGCCAAGTCCTAATATACCCCTTCCCCCATTCAAAGGTTGGTTCTTATATACTTGAGTAGCAGAGATATCAACATTGAAATCGTTGGGGGGGGGGGTGACCTTGAAAATCGAAATATCCCCTGTCTTGGATTGTAGGTCGTGTAGGATACCTCTACTTAGGCTAACGGCATGTGAAAACGAAGTATATATGCTTTTATGACAATTACAAAAATGATGCAGATTTTTTCTTAACCCTAAGCTCAGCTGGTAGTATATTTTCTGTTGGTGAGGCACTGCTTCTGTTTCTCGAGTCGCTGCCTGAGCCTGTTATTCCTTTTAAATTTCAAAACAAGTGCATGGATGCTTGCCAGAATTACACTTTATGCAAACAGGTATTTTGAAACTCTTCTTTTAACGTTCTCAACCAATATTCCCAGTGAAGACTTCACTTTCTTTGCATATTGCCAATATCAGTCACGTGCTATTACCTAGAAGTTTCACGATGTTAACTGAAGTTTTGTTTGTCCAATCCTGATGAAGCAGGTGGTTAGTTTTTTATGTTATTGAAGTTACATGGTTGCCTCAAAGTTAGACAAGCTTTTTCTTAAGATCTCCAGTAAAAATAGTGGTTTTCTCTTGACAGCAAGAGTGAGTTGCCTTGTATTGTGCTTTAAGTCCCATTATTTCGATATCAATGACCGCTGATGAGTTATTTTGCTTGCTCCCTTGTACCTTGTTTCTTCAAATGAGTCTGTGGCCTAAAATCTGCAAAAAACACCTTTTCTTAGCTCTTCCACCTTAATTGTACCAGTTACCTTTATCAAGACCAGTTGGAATCCCACCTTAAGAGATGAAATGAGATTTTTACTCAGATGATTTACGTGTATTATTTCATTGTAGGTTGTTGGCCAAATGCCAGATTGTCATGTAAGCGTGTTTAGGTATATCACAGCATTTTTACGGGAGCTGCTAACCCATTCAGCGGATAACAAACTGGCTGCAAAGATTCTTGGTAATTCTTATCATTCTTTTACCTTAAACCGTAGATAGTGATTTGGACCCAATGTTTGATCAGAGAAACATGCTATTTTGATGCGTGAAAATTACTACGAAAACAATTGATTTTGTGAATATTAAAGCAAAATTTCATCAATTTATATGCAAGGTAGCTGTCTATTAACAGCCATGTTTCATAAAATGCAGCACATTGAAGGCCAGGTTATTTAAAGGCCATTCTACAAATGCATAAATATCCTCAGCTACTTAAAGTATTCTCACAAAAATATCGATGGGTTTACATAGCGATTTTATTCAGTTTAAAATACCAGTCAAATCCCATTTAGTCGTACCGCAGATAGGTAACTCGGATTTTCGCTGAGTCGGACTGATTGTCAAGTCCCATTGGATTTTCCTATTATATTTAAATCAAAACGCTTACATAAGATAAGTATGACATTCTCTAAGTCAGACCATTTTCTTGCACCCCTTCAAAGGCGTGACTTAACTAGATTTAATTGTATATATATGTTATTTGAGAAGAACGGAAGGGCCTCGATAAGAACTGCTTCGCCGACTCCAGACAGAAATATACGACGGCGAAGAAATTTATAAAGGATTTAGTAGATCTGTGGAATCCCTGTATCAATTTCTGGCATTATAAAAAATGGAACTGCAATTATAATGCAAAAGTCTGCAAACAGCCCTGCATCTGAATATCTTTTCAAGTTATTTACGAAAAGCTCAGCTCAAAATACACTGAAACTGAGTTGCGTGTTTCTCTTTTCAAAACTCTGAAGTCTATTTCATTTAGTGGCCTAAGCTATGGACCTAATTTAGTAAAGATGTCCAACATGCACCATATAAGTAAGTAAATAAGTAAATATTGAAGAGATTTTGCGTTGACTTTTTTTTCTCTGTTGTGAACTAGTTATGGACATTCCTTTGATTTATTTATAGCTATTAAAATTTGTAGTTTAGTTATTAAAATAAGGTTTTGCTCAGTAGCGTTTTAATGCCCCCCCCCCCCAAGCAGTCTCAACAGACTGATGGGGCTATCGTGTTTAAATAATCTAAAATTAATGTATGCCCGGGTTAAATATCGGTCCGAAAGTAGTCGCTTGTTAATTTTTCCCCTCTTATGTTTCTGGTTTTTATGCTAGTAATGACTGGTAAAATAATGCCAAAACTCCTAATAGATTGAATTCAAGATTTCTTCATTATTGTAATACACTTGTCTTTTCAGCCACTGTCTTTGGAGCTATTCTACTGCGAGGACCAAAAGAGCAAGCCACTGTTAGTCGAAGGGCAGAGTCCCAAATCGGACAGAAAAAAGCTAAGTTCCTTTACCATTTTCTCGTGAATGACTTCAGCGAGTAGAGTCTGTTTCGCATTAGTTTTTGGATTCTTGTCCAGACCTTTCATTGAAAAGTTGAAGGGCGAGCATCAAAGCTTGTGGGATGTCAAATCCAAATTTTGTAAAAAAGGAAAAGCAAATCAAGGTCGTGAACATAGAGTTTGAGGATGATATTTGTGTCAATAATATTTGGATTAATTCCAGCTGTTACCTCATAACCTCTTAGGTTTATTCATTAGGGTATTATCATATGTCACTGGTTCGCCGAAACGAAAGTTTCAGTTCCAGATTTGTGAAAAGTATCACGGACCAAGGATTGTAGCGAGTTGAATAATATGTAATATTGTGTAAATGAGACATAATACTAAGTTTTTAAAAGTAGCTACTTTGAAACTATTGTAGTTTTTACGTTTTAATGAGGAAATTTGCGGCTCATGTTATTTCTTTTTGTTAACCCGAAAGTCCATTAGAATGACAAAGGTTTTTGTCCATTTGATTCAGAATACTGTCAATATAGATACATTTTAGGCACCCTGCCCACTCGAGAATTAATACAATCGAGATTTGTGGTAATGTTATTGAGATCTTTGGTATCAAACTGGGCAAATTCATATCGCAAAACATCGAAGGAAAATGATTAGAAAGAAAGTGATAAACATAGACGTAAATTGTCTTTCAACGTAGACGTCCCTTTCCTTTCAACGTTGTAAATTATCTAAACTTATTTGTGATTTTTGTTTTGGTTTTTTTGTACTTTTATAGTAAATGATTTCAATTAGCAGGCGGATTTCGTAATTATGTCTGAAGACGTGTTGACGTGATGGCAGATGGTCGAATGCATAATTATGCTTAATTATGCTTCCAATAGTTTATGTCATATGAGAATAGGTGATTCTGATTAGCAACATGGCGTTTTATGCCTTAAAGTGAGTGTTTGTGTAGTGAAGGGTTCTTAAGAGTGTTTTTTAAAGACACCAGATGCTACTAAATAGTGAGCCTGGGGCAATGTTTTGAAAAAGGGTTTAAGTGTTGCTGTGAAAGTCAGCCTGGATATGACTCATGGCCATTTCTTTTCACAATTATCCATACCAATGAAATGCCACTAAAGGAGCTAACAGCAAAACCAATGGCAATGACAAAATGCATGAATAAGACTTACTTGGGATGGATTATGAACTGTCAATATCCAAATTATGATCTCCAACCAAACATCTAGTTAGCTGCAAAAAACTATTTCTTTCAAGAAATTGTGAAAGTTTTCCGTCCAACTCTAAGCTTTCCGGTGAAAGAGAGCTTTAAAAAGACTGGAGGTTGAGTTTCATTGGGTATCTTGAAACCCCTGGGATATTATCATTGGCATAAAGAGAAAATGTGCAGGAAAATGCGTCTGACCTTAAATGATGCTATTAGGGTGTAGATTAACACGCATTTTTATTTAATTAGAGTCTTTTAATTCAATGTAGTAGTTTGCCATTTACAGATGTCTGCCATTCAACACCGCAGATACTTTTTGATGATCCATTTTTCGTTGGCGTCTAATCTTTTTTTTCAACTTTAATGCAACACTGCAGCAATGCGAATTACTCAAATCAATTGAGATCATATGTACGTCATTGCACATCAAGTCAGTAAAAAGATACTTTAAGGAGTTGAGTTATTAGAAAATAAACATCAAATTAAGTTCCGGAATAAATGCCGTTTTTTTTAAAAAGAAAACAGTTTCTAGACCGGTCGATTTCTCGTAAAAAAGTAAGGCTATAGTCTTGGAAAAATGGCCAATTTTTCCCGAAATTTTTTTTTCTAGAGAGAGGTTTTTCTGCCTTTATACTATCATAATCAATCAGAATTCAATTAAATCCTGCAAGAAAATAGGAATTTTTGACAAAAAAAGCAGTTTTCAGATTGGTCGATTTCTCATAAATAAGTAAGGCTATAGTCTTGGAAAAATGGCCAAATTTTCTCGAAATTTTTTTTTCTAGAGAGAGGTTTTTCTGCCTTCATACTATCATAATCAACCAGAATTCAATTAAATCCTAAAAGAAAATAGGAATTTTTGACAAAAAAGCAGTTTCTAGACCGGTCGATTTCTCATAAAAAAGTAAGGCTATAGTCTTGGAAAAATGGCCAAATTTTCTCGAAATTTTTTTTTCTAGAGAGAGGTTTTTCTGCCTTCATACTATCATAATCAACCAGAATTCAATTAAATCCTAAAAGAAAATAGGAATTTTTGACAAAAAAGCAGTTTCTAGACCGGTCGATTTCTCATAAAAAAGTAAGGCTATAGTCTTGGAAAAATGGCCAAATTTTCTCGAAATTTTTTTTTCTAGAGAGAGGTTTTTCTGCCTTCATACTATCATAATCAACCAGAATTCAATTAAATCCTAAAAGAAAATAGGAATTTTTGACAAAAAAGCAGTTTCTAGACCGGTCGATTTCTCATAAAAAAGTAAGGCTATAGTCTTGGAAAAATGGCCAAATTTTCTCGAAATTTTTTTTTCTAGAGAGAGGTTTTTCTGTCTTTATACTATCATAATCAATCAGAATTCAATTAAATCCTGTAATAAAATAGGAATTTTTGACAAAAAAGCAGTTTTCAGACCGGTCGATTTCTCATAAAAAAGTAAGGCTATAGTCTTGGAAAAATGGCCAAATTTTCCCGAAATTTTTTTTCTAGAGAGAGGCTTTTCTGCCTTTATACTATCATAATCAATCAGAATTCAATTAAATCCTGTAATAAAATAGGAATTTTTGACAAAAAAAGCAGTTTTCAGACCGGTCGATTTCTCATAAAAAAAGTAAGGCTATAGTCTTGGAAAAATGGCCAAATTTTCTCGAAATTTTTTTTTCTAGAGAGAGGTTTTTCTGTCTTTATACTATCATAATCAATCAGAATTCAATTAAATCCTGTAATAAAATAGGAATTTTTGACAAAAAAGCAGTTTTCAGACCGGTTGATTTCTCATAAAAAAAGTAAGGCTATAGTCTTGGAAAAATGGCCAAATTTTCTCGAAATTTTTTTTTCTAGAGAGAGGTTTTTCTGTCTTTATACTATCATAATCAATCAGAATTCAATTAAATCCTGTAATAAAATAGGAATTTTTGACAAAAAAGCAGTTTTCAGACCGGTTGATTTCTCATAAAAAAAGTAAGGCTATAGTCTTGGAAAAATGGCCAAATTTTCTCGAAATTTTTTTTTCTAGAGAGAGGTTTTTCTGCCTTCATACTATCATAATCAATCAGAATTCAATTAAATCCTGTAATAAAATAGGAATTTTTGACAAAAAAGCAGTTTTTAGATTGGTCGATTTCTCATAAAAAAGTAAGGCTATAGTCTTGGAAAAATGGCCAAATTTTCTCGAAATTTTTTTTTCTAGAGCGAGGTTTTTCTGCCTTCATACTATCATAATCAACCAGAATTCAATTAAATCCTGTAATAAAATAGGAATTTTTGACAAAAAAGCAGTTTTTAGACCGGTCGATTTCTCATAAAAAAGTAAGGCTATAGTCTTGGAAAAATGGCCAAATTTTCCTGAAATTTTTTTTTCTAGAGCGAGGTTTTTCTGCCTTCATACTATCATAATCAACCAGAATTCAATTAAATCCTGTAATAAAATAGGAATTTTTGACAAAAAAGCAGTTTTCAGACCGGTCGATTTCTCATAAAAAAAGTAAGGCTATAGTCTTGGAAAAATGGCCAAATTTTCTCGAAATTTTTTTTTCTAGAGAGAGGTTTTTCTGCCTTCATACTATCATAATCAATCACAATTCAATTAAATCCTGTAATAAAATAGGAATTTTTGACAAAAAAGCAGTTTTTAGATTGGTCGATTTCTCATAAAAAAGTAAGGCTAAAGTCTTGGAAAAATGGCCAAATTTTCTCGAAATTTTTTTTTCTAGAGCGAGGTTTTTCTGCCTTCATACTATCATAATCAACCAGAATTCAATTAAATCCTGTAATAAAATAGGAATTTTTGACAAAAAAGCAGTTTTCAGACCGGTCGATTTCTCATAAAAAAGTAAGGCTATAGTGTTGGAAAAATGGCCAAATTTTCTCGAAATTTTTTTTTCTAGAGGGAGGTTTTTCTGCCTTTATACTATCATAATCAACCAGAATTCAATTAAATCTTGCAAGAAAATAAGAATTTTTGACAAAAAAAGCAGTTTTCAGACCGGTCGATTTCTCATAAAAAAAGTAAGGCTATAGTCTTGGAAAAATGGCCAAATTTTCTCAAAATTTTTTTTTCTAGAGGGAGGTTTTTCTGCCTTTATACTATCATAATCAACCAGAATTCAATTAAATCTTGCAAGAAAATAAGAACTTTTGACAAAAAAGCAATTTTCAGACCGGTCGATTTCTCATAAAAAAAGTAAGGCTATAGTCTTGGAAAAATGGCCAAATTTTCTCAAAATTTTTTTTTCTAGAGGGAGGTTTTTCTGCCTTTATACTATCATAATCAACCAGAATTCAATTAAATCTTGCAAGAAAATAAGAATTTTTGACAAAAAAGCAGTTTTCAGACCGGTCGATTTCTCATAAAAAAAGTAAGGCTATAGTCTTGGAAAAATGGCCAAATTTTCTCAAAATTTTTTTTTCTAGAGGGAGGTTTTTCTGCCTTTATACTATCATAATCAACCAGAATTCAATTAAATCTTGCAAGAAAATAAGAACTTTTGACAAAAAAGCAATTTTCAGACCGGTCGATTTCTCATAAAAAAAGTAAGGCTATAGTCTTGGAAAAATGGCCAAATTTTCTCAAAATTTTTTTTTCTAGAGGGAGGTTTTTCTGCCTTTATACTATCATAATCAACCAGAATTCAATTAAATCTTGCAAGAAAATAGGAATTTTTGACAAAAAAAGCAGTTTTCAGACTGGTCGATTTCTCATAAAAAAGTAAGGCTATAGTCTTGGAAAAATGGCCAAATTTTCTCGAAATTTTTTTTTCTAGAGAGAGGTTTTTCTGTCTTTATACTATCATAATCAATCAGAATTCAATTAAATCCTGTAATAAAATAGGAATTTTTGACAAAAAAGCAGTTTTCAGACCGGTCGATTTCTCATAAAAAAGTAAGGCTATAGTGTTGGAAAAATGGCCAAATTTTCTCGAAATTTTTTTTTCTAGAGGGAGGTTTTTCTGCCTTTATACTATCATAATCAACCAGAATTCAATTAAATCTTGCAAGAAAATAAGAACTTTTGACAAAAAAGCAATTTTCAGACCGGTCGATTTCTCATAAAAAAAGTAAGGCTATAGTCTTGGAAAAATGGCCAAATTTTCTCAAAATTTTTTTTCTAGAGGGAGGTTTTTCTGCCTTTATACTATCATAATCAACCAGAATTCAATTAAATCTTGCAAGAAAATAAGAACTTTTGACAAAAAAGCAATTTTCAGACCGGTCGATTTCTCATAAAAAAAGTAAGGCTATAGTCTTGGAAAAATGGCCAAATTTTCTCAAAATTTTTTTTTCTAGAGGGAGGTTTTTCTGCCTTTATACTATCATAATCAACCAGAATTCAATTAAATCTTGCAAGAAAATAAGAATTTTTGACAAAAAAGCAGTTTTCAGACCGGTCGATTTCTCATAAAAAAAGTAAGGCTATAGTCTTGGAAAAATGGCCAAATTTTCTCAAAATTTTTTTTTCTAGAGGGAGGTTTTTCTGCCTTTATACTATCATAATCAACCAGAATTCAATTAAATCTTGCAAGAAAATAAGAACTTTTGACAAAAAAGCAATTTTCAGACCGGTCGATTTCTCATAAAAAAAGTAAGGCTATAGTCTTGGAAAAATGGCCAAATTTTCTCAAAATTTTTTTTTCTAGAGGGAGGTTTTTCTGCCTTTATACTATCATAATCAACCAGAATTCAATTAAATCTTGCAAGAAAATAGGAATTTTTGACAAAAAAAGCAGTTTTCAGACTGGTCGATTTCTCATAAAAAAGTAAGGCTATAGTCTTGGAAAAATGGCCAAATTTTCTCGAAATTTTTTTTTCTAGAGAGAGGTTTTTCTGTTCTGCCTTCATTACTATCATATCAACCAGATCAATTAATCTTTGCCAGAAAATCAAGAATTTTTGACAAAAAAAGCAGTTTTCAGACCGTGATTTCTCATACAAAAAGTAAATGGTAAGCTATAGTCTTGGAAAAAAATTGGCAATTTTCTCCGAAATTTTTTTTACTAGAAGGGAGGTTTTTCTTGCTTCATTACTATCAGTAGATCAAACAGAATTCATATTAAATACTTGCAAGAAATAGGAATTTTTTGACAAAAGCAGTTTCTAGCCGGTCGATTTCTCAATAAAAAAGTAAGGCTTAGTCTTGGAAAATGGCAATTTTTCACGAAATTTTTTTTCTAGAGAGAGGATTTTCTGCCTTCATACTATCATAATCAACCCAGAATTCAATTAAATCTTGCAAGAAAATAAGGAATTTTTGACAAAAAAAGCAGTTTTCAGACCGGTCGATTTCTCATAAAAAAAGTAAGGCTATAGTCTTGGAAAAATGGCCAAATTTTCTCGAAAATTTTTTTTTTCTAGAGGAGGTTTTCTGCCTTCATACTATCATAATCAACAGAATTCAATTAAATCTTAAAAAATAGGAATTTTTGACAAAAAAAAAGCAGTTTTCCAGACCGTCGATTTCTCATAAAAAGATAAGGCTATAGTCTTGGAAAATGGCCAAATTTTTCGAAATTTTTTTTACTAGAGAAGGTTTTTTCTGTCTTTATACTACATAATCAA